TGTTACTGTAATCGCTTTTCGAATGGTTTTCAGTTAAATAAACTGTTGCATCAAGAGTGAATTAGGATAGAATATTATTGTAATACAACAGTTTTTTAACTAAACCATTTGAAAAGCGATTACGGTAACATCTTTTGAACGAAAGAAATCGAAAGTCATTGTTTTCGTCACGATTTTATCCCACTTTCCACTGTAATACGTACGTAATTTCAGCAAAAATATTACATTTCCGTGAATGTATTATATCAAGCACAGTATGAATAGAATATCATTGTAATATAACAGAATTTTAACCGAAAACTATTAAAAAAACGAGTAACATCTCCAGAACAGAAGCTTAGGTAAAGTCTTTTGTTTTCGTCATGTATTTTTTCCTATTTTACATTGAAATACGTCACGTTTCAGCAAAACTACTATTTATTTCCGAGAATATATTCATTCAGGCGCAGTTTAGGTAAAATATACGTGTGATGTAACAGATTTTTAACTGAAAACGATCCGAAAAACACGTGTACCGTCTAGCTGATACAGCTGGTGGTGCGTGATGCGTCGTTGTAAACAATAGGAGGTTGAAGTAGATTACCGGGTATTATATTAAGTGTGAAATATCGAAAAGGTTTTTAATACCGGTATTTTTTGTAGATCAATGAGAACTGTGATACCGTATATGATATGATAAGTTAGCCTGTGCTAAGAACTTCAACATAGACTACTGAAAGCACGTTGTAAGGTAATTTAGCCTATTGTAAGTTGGTGAGCTTCATTTACTGAAGGAACTGCACAACTTTTCATTACTAATTGGTACATATTTTACGTTCCCATTGTTTACTGGCAGTAAATGGTAAATATTTTTCATGTCTGAAGCTAAAAGTTGCTTCTCGCCCTTCCCATCATGCACGGGTTCAACCTAAAGAAACTATTACGCATATATAGGACGACCCCCAATTTTTTGCCTAAAATTTGGTCTTAAAAACTCGAACTATACACGAGTATATACGGTATATATATTTTTTTTATTTTATTTTTTCAGGATACTGACCAAGCCTTGTCTGTGCAGATGCGCCAAGACTGTATGTTTAAGTTTTTATAGCAGTTAAGTACACCTGTTAGAATAAAACATAAGGTAAAGTCTGTATTGAAATACTATATATTTTTTGTTAACATCTCTAATGAACAGATAACTTAATTTAAAAAAAAAAATAATAATTCCTAAGTTTATTTGCACCTTGAGTCAGCCATAGAAGATAAATGAGTACAAAGTTCAGATATGTAATTTTTTATTTCTTGATGCAATATTGTATAGTAGTGTGTGGAATATTTGACTGCACCTTTACAAATGTAACCTTTATTACTACTGCTTGTACTGCTCAATCACCTGGTAATAAATCAATGAGGTTTCATTGCCAAGAATTTGTACTACAACCACTTCAGAATATGGTATATTATTTTATTATCTAGTCACAAGTTTCACTACTAAGAGTTTGTGGTTTTTTAAGTATTTATAAAAAAATTTATTGACTTTCTTAGAAGGAAAATTTTTATGAGTACAGTAAAGGTTATTTGAACATCAGTTATTGAAAATGATGTACTGTATTATTCTTTGAATATTGATTTTCTTGTAAGGATTTTTATTGTTTAATGCCTGGACCAGGTGACTTGTGTATTTAGCAGAGCCTTAGGATGAAACCCAGGTAAGGCCTCAACATAAGCTACATCAATTAGTTATATTGTATATCCCCATAGCAACAGTGTTCCTTTAGAAGATATTTTTGGAAGTAAATGTCATTATTCAACCTCAGAAGCTGATAAGTTGTGACCACACACTACCTACTGTATGTGTACCACATCCAACACTGAAGGTGGAGCAGCATCCAGTGGAAGTCCCTGGAGCTAAGGAAAGTACCAATCTGCCAAAGATGATAATGTGCCTTTTTTTAGCCACCTTATTTTTTCATATGTCAAATAGGTTGAATAAAGTGTATACCTTATGGGATGCTAAGAAGTGATAAATGTTCATGAAATTATTCATACGTATTGCCAGACTCTAGAAATAATCATTCAAGTAATTATTGGGCTTACTTGTGGTGTGGCAAGTCTTCAAGCAATAATGGGCTTGTAAATAAGGTGGTGGATGAGTGGAACAAGCTTAGCAATTTTGTAGTAAGTGCTGGAACGCTGGAAAGTTTATGTACTTTTTGCTGAATTATCCTGTGTGTGTGTGTGTATACATATATATATATATATATATATATATATATATATATATATATATATATATATATATATATATATATATATATATATATATATATATATATATATATATATATATATACATATACATATATATATACATATATGTATACATATACATATATATACTGTTTACAGTACTACAGTTTGAATGCATTCCATGTGTTTTTGGTTTTGTTTTTCCTAACTTGCTCTATCATTATATACAAGTGATTTTGGTAAACATACAAATCAAAGATTAAATTCACATCATACAATACAATGTTGAAAATCTGGAGTTTCAAAACCATCAATATTTAAAAAAAAAAAAAAAGATAAGGAAAGAAAACTGCCACATCAGTGCAGACAGACCCCGATGACTGACGCATATAGTGACCATGAAAAGTCGTTGGTTAGTGAATCAATGGTTATCGAACCAATTAATCCTGTAAGAATATAACAAATTCAGGTTGGGGACCGTCCACCTCAGAAAAACTCCCATCTACCTGTGATATATATCTGTTGTGCACACTGTCAAGCAATAAAATAAAGCAAGCATAATAAGCATTAAATTAAGAATGTAAAGCATAAATTGAGACTGTTATTTACCTTTGTTGAGGAGGATTAAGACGGTCTCGGGTGGCAAGTTCAAGTCCATCGCCACTCTTATAATGCCTTATCATATCACATCAGGCTGCCTCTTCGGCACAAGAGGAACTATAACTGGGGCATTTAGGCATAATTGCGAAGTTGGACACACCTGGTAAGTGTAATTAAGTGCACAGAGGTGGAAATGAGTCGAAGGCAGCACAGAGAGCTTTCTCGTGGTAAGAATTCATACCACGTCACCACCCGCCAAATTCAAAACAGCTCTGCCGCTCCTCCCACGATTTTTGAATCTGGGGTATTAACAAAACTTGTGGGGCATTTCCCTATACGTAATCGTCGGTTATGCGATTTGGTGGTTAATGGGACGTCAGTTCTTGGGGTATACCTGTATACTTCCCTGTGTGTTTTTAGTTTCTCAGCTTGTGATAACACATTTTAAGTCATTTCAATGGCAAATTCTGAGTACAGGTGTATTCCTTGCTGTTCCATAATGGTCTCTAAAAAGGAATTACATACTGCCTAGTGATACTGTAATGTGTAGTGGTGGTCAAGTTGTGAAATACAAGCCTATCACTACTCACACTTGTATCATCCATTTAATTGTCTTCCTTTCATCTTTGTCAGTTGTGTGTGTGGAGGCAAGGAAGAAATTTTTGTTTTCTCGCGTTAAGATTATGTTGTGTGGGTTTATGAGCATTACTGAAGTTGTGCAATGTTAGGCAGGCCAGCAGTGTGGTTCCCATGTACTGTACTATAGATTTCTAGACTCCAACAAACTCCCATTTCCAGCAACTGCCTGGTCCTAATTGGGCTCGATTTTCAACATTCCATTGTACTGTACTGTATATGATTAAGCCTTAATTAGTGTGCAGGCAGTGAGGAATTGAAGAAAATTGCCATTTATACATTTTTTATTTATTTTTATTTATTTATTTTTTGTAAACCATGAGTTAGTTTACATAGCCACTTTTTTTCTTTTATTCCCCCCCCCCTTCTTAACCAATGACTTGCTTTTAAATCTACTGTATTCATTATTATTATTATCACAGTAATTTATTTACATCTTTTTATTAGCAAACCCCGTGGACATGAAAATGAATTGGTAGTTTTACTTTTTATAATATTTATCAGCCTCGAGCTTATGAACTGATGTTAATTTCATTGGATGTTTTCTGTTCAGGTGGTGACTGCTTCTCCAAGTTTAATATAGGTACTGTATTTATCACATGCAAATTGTATGAACCCAATGCCCTTGTACCTGAATTGCCAATGTACTGAAAATACTTATTATGACAGACTTTTTAAGATAACTTTTTTTTTTTGTATCTGATATGTAATGGAATTATGTAGCAATAAAAAACAGTACAGTATTTCTAATGAACACTTTATTACTCATAAAGGGAACTCGGAAGACAGTTGACTTATAGCAGCATAATGAATTTCTAAAATATATTAGTTTAGAAAAATAGCATTCCATAAGTGAAGCCATAAATATGCTATACTGTGATAAAATTTCTGTAACCTCAACAAACACAATTAAATAAGTTTTAACATCACAAAATTTGATACATTAGAATTTACAAATCCTTCTCATTCTGTAAAAATCAGTACATTACAAAAATAACAAGGGAAGTATTATATTTTAATCTCTATTACAAAAGTACAGAAAAGTTTCTTTATTGATATGTATAGAAGCCACTACAGTACACTCTTCAATTAATCTCGGTGAAATATACTACTCTTGGAGCAAACATTTATGACATCTTATATCTATGTTGGTGGTATATGAAAGATATTAATTGTACAGTCTCACCCAAAAGTTGGTTAACTCTGCCAGCCAGCTATTGCTGCACTGCCTGCTTCAGATGTATGAACTTGAGTCTGTTACTTCAAACCTTTAGATTCATTCGTATCAGTTTCATGTTCTGGTTGGTACTGAGACAGTTTCAAACATCTGAAGCTGGCAGTGCAGCAATAGCTGGCTGGGAGAGTTAATGAACTTTTGGGCGAGACTGTACAGCGGTAGTTCATTTACCTCCCGCCTCTGGAACCAGGGTTTGATTCCTGCTTGGATCAGATATGGGGAAGGTGTTGTCCAGCTTGACCCATGAAGGACAAACTCAGTAAGAACAGTGAAGGGGTTTACTATATAATCCACCAGCTTCCTTCCCCATGCAAGAGATAAATTAAGTACTACAGTATAAAATAAAGCCCAAGGAATCCATTACTGGCAAAATTTAACCAATTAATTTCAGTCAAGACAGAATACAGTAGTGACATATAACTATTGTATATGAAATTCACAGTTTCACTAAAGACATTGTCATTTTTTTCTTCTAATATTTGTTTTATAGAATGAAGAGATTATAACTGTACAGCAGGTGTCGGCAATCCCTGGCATGCATGCCAAAGTTGGCACGCGAGAGTTGACCACGGCTCGCCAAGCAATTTTAAAAACATATTACAAAATCGAAAAATAGCACCATTTCAAATAAACAAACTGACAGGAGCTAGAACTCACGGGTCCAGTACCCGTCCGCTCATATGTAGCCTGTGTTGCATCAGACTCAGTGTTGCCATTTTAGCTACACAAAATAGGTAGCTCGCCTTGTGTTCTTTTTCTCGGGATATTTTCTATATCTAAGAAATTGGAGTATAAATATGTTTTATTATTTTTAATTTATGTCACTTTCAATGAAATTACTCAATAATCTTTCTAGTAGTAATCAATCTACTGGATTTTTTATTTGTGGGAGTTTCTATTTCTAGGTGGTAACACTGGTTACTCAGACCGTCAGGCATGGTCAGTGTGCTTTCAGTCGCAGTGACAAAATCTATTCATAATTAAGTAGCCACAATGGCAGCTGCCAAGAACGCCAAATTAAATGTTCGATCGTTTCAACCCTCTTGGACAAAAGACTTTGGATTTATTCTAAAGAATGGTCGAGCTGTGTGTGCTCTGTGTTGCGAGAATGTTGTTTGCCGGACATCAAGTGTAAAGAGACATTATGAAACGAAGCATGAGAAGACATTTAAGGACAATGCAGACAAGGCTGAAGCAATTAAGAAAGCATTATCCCACTACAAAACAGCGTGATGAAGAATCTGAGTGGAAACAAAGATCATGCAACTGAGGCCAGCTACCAAGTTTCTCTGTATTGTTAAACATGAAAAACCATTTATTGATGGGGATTATAAAGGAGGCCTTTCTCAACAGCTCTTAAGTTTTATTTAGGGATTTACCAAACAAACACACAATCATCTTGAGGATAAAAGACATGCCTGTTGCTGCCAGGACTGTAGAGGCATGCAACTGTGTTCAGTATTGCTGTTGATGAGAGTGTTGATATAAATGACATACCACGTTTGGCTATTGTCGCCAGGTACAGTGACACGTAGGTACACGAGGAGCTGTGCTGCCTACGACCAATGCGTGGTACTACCAAGGGAGATGACGTTGTTAAAACGTTCATTGATCATTTTGAGGAGAGATGGGTTGATGTTAAAATAATATTTGCAGTTACAACAGATGGCGCTCCTGCTATGGTAGGAAAACACAGGGCATTTGCCCAGCTAATTGAGGATAAAATTGGGCACCCCACCCTTAAGTTACACTGCATTATTCATCAAGCAAATCTGTGTGCCAGAATTTCAAACTCTGATCTCAATAAAGTAATGGCCACTGACAAAAATTTTGAATTTTTTGGCTGGACGATCTGCCCTTACACACAGACAACTCCAGTCTTTTCTTGATGAGATGAATAGTGCATATGGAGACATATCCCTTTACTCCAGTGTTAGGTGGTTAAGTTGCGGGAAGGTTTGAGAATGGCTCGTGGAATGCGTTGATGAAATCGGGATCTTCCTGAAAGAAAAGGGCCAAAAATATCCTGAACTGGAAGATGACCAATGGGTAGTGAAACTTAGGCTTCTCTCAGACACCACCAAACACCTCAGTGACTTTAATCTTCGCCTGCAGGGTGCAGGACAAACAGTTGTGGATCTGTATGGCACTTGGAAGGCTTGGTGGATATTGAAACTACAACTTTCTGCTACTTCTAGCACCTGAAAGGGTGGTCAGCACATCATCCTGTGAACACTACAGTGTACAAGGTACATGCAAGAATGAAGTCCAAATTCTCTGTCAGATTTCAAGATTTCCAGCACATTGGCCCAACGTTTTCCTTTTTAATTAAACCTGAAAACTTTGAGGAGAGTGACTTGGACTTGTCTTTATTTGAGTGGATGAAAATTGGGGACCTGGAGATGCAGCTGATCGATTTTAAGTTGTTTTCATTATGGGTAGTAAAGTTCACGGAACTACGTAAAACACTTGAAACGACTGCGAGTGATCATGAGGTCTCCATCCTAAGCTGCTGGACATCCCTACCAGAGAAATTTGATTGCATGAAGAAGGATGCCTTTGCACTTTCACCCTTTGGAACGACATATCTATGTGAGCAGATATTTTCACACGTGAATATCCTCAATCCTCATCGCAGCCGACTTACAACCAAGCACTCCGAGGGGTGTGTGCAACTTAAGGTGTCCAGATATACTCCCGACATAGCAACGCTGAGCAAGGGGAAGCAGGGACAGGGATCACACTAAAATGGTGAGAGCATTTTATAGTATTTGATTATACATCTTACCATTCATACGGTATGTAGTTATGTGTACAGTATTTCAAATATATATGAAAGCATTATTTATCAATATACACATGACAATAATTTGCATATTGAAAATAATAGTTGGCACGCAGGGCAGTAAAAATGTTAAAAAATGGCACAGTGTGTTCAAAAGGTTGCCGACCCCTGTTATACAAAATTTTGTACATTCTAAGAAACTCATGCATGTATTTTATGTTTACTGATGTATTGCACAATATAGTTTTTTGTACTTTGTACAATTAGGCTATGCACACAAATACCCACTACCAAAAAATACCCTTACTTCATTGAATACACTTTTTAAGAATCAACCCTAAGGTGTTTAGCTTAAAAAAAAAATACAGTATTACAAACACCTTCATAAGACTAGAGACAATAGGGAGCAAATATGACCGGCAATGTCAATTGTTAAATACCAAAAATGTCATTTATCTTGAATAACAAACAAAAACAAAGTCTTAATTTAGCAGCAAGAAGACTTAATTATGCTATATCAATATTTAGTTAAAATGTTACATACCGGTAAGCATATATATATATATATATATATATATATATATATATATATATATATATATATATATATATATATATATATATATATATATATAACCTCAGACAACCAACACTATTAGAACCAAGAGCATAGCAGATTTGTGAATTCCTCCCAATCCCCTAAATCACAGACAGTACTGTACACTATTATGTATTAGGAAAACATTACTCTTGCCAGAACAAAGTAAAAAAAAAAAAAAAAGTAAACATAAAAGTAAGGTGTAATAGGCAGGGCTGGCAAAGGGGGGATAGCTGCCAGGTTAAGTTGGGCCCCATAGCTTATCACTATGATAGTATATTATTCATGTAATGTTCAATTAATATAACAGTACCTGTACATTGGAAATTCTACTTAATAAATCAGAACTAGCAGACATTATTATACAGGGATCAGCTGACTAGCATATAATGATTGTGATATGCAATTCATTGGTTGTGACTTAATAGAATCCTAATAAAAGAATACAATAGTGCTCCATCACTTCACCCACCAATTATATACACTGCAGGATATCAACACAAGTATGGAAGGGGGCTTATGGTTGGGACTCGGGTCATTCTTCATCTGTCCCTAGTAATATGCACACTGAAACTGGAGTAGTCCTGTAAACAAGGTGACCATAAATTAATACTGGGTGGATATGATTCTAGAAACAGTGTGGTATCTGCAAGCACCTATTCCTCCCTCCCCAAAGTTTTCTAAGAATTGTACATATTGTAGTTGACTTCTGAGGTTCTACTATAAGATGGTGGAGCCCATACCAAATAATAATACATTGGGATGCAAGAGGAATCATTAACTGTAGTTTTAAGAGAAACAAGTTAAATCACACCATTAGATAGTTTTAGTTTTTGTACTAAAGTGCAATGGAAATACTGTACTGTACTACAATAATGTCCATGATAACTGCCACTTCCATGTACCAGTAGTAACATATATTACATTTTCAAGGCATTAAAATGTTCAAAATCCCCATATTACTTGCTTTATTGTACAGTACTCTGTCTATGGCACAATTTGATCCCATAAGATTCTACATATTCATACCAGTAGTTCCTGTGTGTAAAGTAACAAAGCCCATTTGATGTTTACAAACACAAGTAGAGAGTATCAGTATTTTTTTTACAGTACAGGTTGACCCTCTGATCTGACAACCTTGGGAACAGGTTCATGACAAATATTAGAAATTTTCATTAAATACAAGGTTGATATATAATGGCACATTACCCTATGCTACATTTAACCTAATGCTTCATTATGTTACGGATTTTTTTTGGTACAAATTTGATGTACTTCATAATAAATAAATTAACAATATGACAATGCTTAATAAATGGAATACATTACTGCAAAATAAAATACCAAATGAAAAATATGTAGAATTTGCATATCCCAAGTCTTATCTGAGCACTTGTACTCATGATACTGTATTGTACACTCTTCATTATTCATTATCTTCAAACAATTTTGTGTTACTCTCGCAGCCTTGCCTCCCTAAGGAAATTTTTTCATACAGGAACACAAAAATTGAAACAAATAACTTAGTACATAGAAATACAAGGTATATAAAATACAATATAAAATTTGTACAGTACCTCTATTACTGAAAGGGTTGTCCATAATCACCATCTCAAGGAACCTTTTGTCAATTGACCATGGACCACCCTACATCAGCTAGCTACCCGTACCACCTCCACCTACACCCAATTTTACCACATTAAAACAATAAACTTTTTTAATTGTCAGAATGCATAATATAAACTGTGGTAATGAATAATTTCTTGCTAAGTACAAGTCATATTTTCCCTCTCACATCTGATTCTCAACCATTCTTCTTTTACTATGCTCATGTTTAATCAAGTCTAATTTCACCTGTCTCTTGATACAAGCTGTGGTTGGCAAAGCACTGGAGGGTCTTTAAACACACAGTATGCACAATTTGGCAGGATTTCCAAAGAAAAATATTATGTATGTACTCACGACAACAACCCTCACTGCAATAAGGTTCTAGTTGAGTGCGAGTGATATGAATTTTATTTTTAAATATTTTAAAACGAGAAAAAAGATTTGTATTTTATAGGGAACAATCAATATTTAACTAAGCACAGCCATTATACCCCAAAAAATTGTGCATAAAGATAAGAAAATTCCCTTTCTACTTCAAGTCAGACACTGTAGAAGAACAAACATGGTACATTTCACTTAGAGAACAGAAACACAGTGATCCAAATTGATCAGCAGCTGCTCTATTTTCTCTTATAGTTAGTGTGTGTCTCTTCCTCTTGGGAGAACTAGAGACAGAAGTATATAATAGTTGCCTTTAAGACATTATATACTGTACTGTAATGTGAATTGTGGGTAGAATAATTATTAAATACCTGTACCAATAAATGCCTGCCACCAAGCAGCCAATTGGACAACTATGCAGTGGTTGAATGTGCTGTTAATTGGGAGGTTTGGTGGATACAGGTAATGCTTTTTGTATAACTAGTGTTGTTATTTGGGAGTTGGCGGTCGATAGAATGTTGGATAAGAGAGGGTCAGTCAACCTGTAATTAACTACAGAAATTTGACAATGACTATTTCTCTTACTTGTAAATTACAATGTTAATTCATCATTATCTTGAAGCATAATAAAAAATAATTCCCAAGAAGTGATATGAAGGTAGTTTGCTCTGTGGAAGCACATTGGTCTCTAGTGAAATATGAACGCTGTACAGAATTCAAATACAGGCCCCTGTACAGTAGAAAAATATGGTGATCTATTCATCCTGCAAAGTTTGGACTCTGTTCTATGGTAAACTGTGCAAGAATAATGTTGACAGTATTTATGGCAATTTCAAGTGGTTTTTTTAAAGTAATACTATATTAAAAACTTTAAGTCCAAAATTACTGCAGTAAGTTGTTAAATTGATGAGTTGTAGTATGGTTTACTTACATAACACTCTTCATACTTAAAGCTATCTCTTCTTTCACTTAATAAAAATGTTAAACTAATCTGTAATTCATTAATGTAAACATTTTCTTTGTTATATTTCACCTTTAGTGAGTCAACATAAGAGACTAAATGAGACAGTTTGTTACTTTTGGCATATTTTTATGTACATTGTAGATTATATGATTGGGAAATCAGAACAAGACAATTCTTACTATTTCTAATATTGCTTACTGCAACTCACCTGAACTTCATTGTGCACGAGATGAAGATAGTTTTTATTGACTGTACACAGTCTGCAATCATTCCTCAAGATACTTAAATATATGAAGCACGTACGACCAGAGTTGGCAAAGAACTACTACTGTAGGGTCAAAATCAAAGATTTATTCACAAAAGGATAGAGAAACCACCTCTGGATGTGTTAATATGGTCGATTTTGCTATAAGTAGATCACAGAGGGGAAAGTGCCAGAGGTCTCTATTATTTTTCTGGTGCTTTGTCCACTCTGGTCATACGATCCTCATATTGTATCATGTGACATCTCTTGGCCTTACTAACAGATCTATATACTGTAATACACTGTCCATCTCTCAGTCAAGTGTTGTTTTGTACTTCCCAGCATCCTTTTATAAATCTTCCTTGTCATTCTCTTATTTGCCTTATGTTCCTTTATGGTGTGTAATTATTTATTAATACCATTTGATGTACTCTCATCCATTTGGCTCTCCAAGAACTTTTTAACCCCAATCATTCCACCATTATTTTTCCTCTGTATGTAATCATCTTACTTACCACTGTTGCTTTGGTATTTTCTGTGTTACTGAAGTGTACTGTACAATATTTAGTGTAAATTAGATTGTAATTCATGTGAGGAGATATTATTGTTCATCACCATGGGACTGCTATGTGAGTTTTTGTATAAACCTTATTGATGTGGAGAGACCTGTGTGACTGACAACACTAATCAAACAATATGATTAAAATTTATTACCAAAACTAACAAAACTATTACAAAAACCCATGATATACTGTAGTACTAATAATTAACTTGAAAGGCTTCATTTTCAAGCGATAGAAATTCATTATGAGCTTCTTTTCTGGCTCTGCAGACAACAAAGCAGTATCTTGTTTCTCACCTTCAAAATTCACAAAGTTGATGACATTGGTGGAACAAAAAATTAATATCTGACATAGTCCCACAGGAAATAAGTTACAGGACCTTGAGCAGTTAATACTGTAGTTCAAGCCAAAAATTCAAGCTGCCATGGCTTCATACAGGGAAATTTATAAAGGGCTTAAAAAAAGGACAATGCAAAACTAAAATAAACAAATCTTCATAAAGGCTGAGTCTTTAGTTTGCCCCACTGAAACCCCCACCAGCACTACTTTGCCATCTCTTGATAACCCAAGACCAGGGCCATCAACACAATAATCCACTTAAACCCTCCATTATCATCAGTAATATAAACTCATCTTTATCACCACCACCATCACCAGTGGATCAAGTTCAAAATTATTATTATCAGAAGTAAGTGATGATCTTAACACTTTGGAGCCAAGAATTAAATATAACAGTGCCAACTTTAAGATAATGGAACAAGTGTCTGCCTCTCATAGCTCACGTTTATATACTACCACTACTGTACTTGTATTGCAAATGTTTTGTTATATCAGCATTTCCCCTGTTCCAGACCATCATGTGCAATAATTAATCCATTAGAGATGTGTAATGATTTAATTCAAATGTGGATTGGTTGAAGGCAAGAGGAACACCAAGAAAGAGAGGGAAGGATAAATTGAGGGACACAATAGAAGTGAGGGAAATATATGTACAGTATACAAGAAGCAGTAAGGTACAGGTATGTATGTAATCAAGTGGTTTATGAGAACACTACAGCTGCAAAAGTAAAAAGACAAAAACAAATTAGGAGAAGTTGTGTTATTCTTAGTTACGGCTACTCAATAATATTACAAAAGGAGGTCTACAAGACTTGAAAAAAAAAAGGGAAATATTAAATTGTAAGTTCAATATGCCTGTAGTTGTAACTTATAAAATTTCTTTCATTATGTTACATTATAATGCAATACAACTTACTGAAAAAGACACAGGCTATACTGTTTAAAATCTGGTTAATTGAAATAGCCGAGATGTATGAAGCCCCTACTGTTGAAAGGAGTTTCTATACAAGGCTCACAGTTTGATAGTTATTAATTGGTATAAATGACTAGTAACATATATGCACATCTTGAAACAATATTCATACTGTATATGCATATTAACACAAAAACCTTAGATCTTATATGAAGTATGTACAATTTCTTTTATTTTTGTCTAAATATGACATCTATGACACCAGTCAATCTTCTGGCCTGGCAACAACCTTGGCCCCTTATCCACTAGGAAGACTCACTCCCTTAATCCCTTCACTATGATTTTATTCAGTTTTGAGAGGAACTCATACACAAGCAAAGGATTAATGGGATGCCCTGTAACATCTCTTCTAAATATTCCTGTCACTTTCATATTTTAAAGAAGCATTTTAAACATTTGCTATATTGTACTTGTAAACATATAAATGTAGTATAAACATGACAAACTAAGTCAAATGCTAGTTAAGTGAATCGGTCACCACTTACTCTTATTGAGAAACAGTTTGTGAGAGAAGATGTGGGTGTCCTTAGTAAGTATATACTGTACAAGTTATAAAGCACAAGGAAAGAAACAGGAAAAAATTGAAAGGTACAAATGAATAAAACAAGCACTGTATTAAAAGGAAGAATTTGAAAATAGAATATCCTGTACAGTAAAAAACAAGGTGCAGGTTGAGAAAATGAAACAGGCTGGCAAGTGGTGGTTATTGAGAATAAGGACACCGTCACTACAACACTTTAACAATAGCGCTGGGTTGTTGAACATGGGGTACATGAGAGGTCTTTGGGATATATTGTACTTTTTTTTTCATACTGCTTTGGCAATGTTAATTTGATATGGTGTTAAATAACTTTGTTTGTAAGAATTTTGTGGGAGTTTTATAAATGTACAAGGTTTCCCCGATTTCTATTTTTACTTTAATCTTTTTATATTATGGACATCTATTCAGAATAGAGATACAGTACTTATTTTGGTTTAGTAATATAGTACAGTATTGTGAATCTACAAAGATATTTTTGATGTGTATCCATTGTTTGTTTTTTCTATTAATAGCATTTGTGAGGTGAAAGTGCATGGACCATATGAAGTTGGTTACGGGTCCACAAGCCAAAAATGATATCAGGTGAATTCGGCCCTTGGCAGAACCCGACCTTTTGGACCAGATAGAGCCCGACCCCTGAGAGAACCTAGCTCTTGGCTCTAAAACCTGGCCACACAATTTGCTGGTTGGGAAGAGATAGACATGCAAAATTCTTTTTACCCATTTTAATCTAAGTACCATTGCAAAATATTCTGATAACTTTCATCAGCTCAAGAGAAGCCTGTGCTGCCAGACAAGCCCGACACTTAAGAGATTCTTGGCGAGGTCGGACATCCTCGGAACAAATGACACACGGGGAGGCGGACTTAGAGGTGAGTAATCCACATAAATTTTAACACAATGTAGTAGATCAAACCTTCCTGTCTGACAAGTGACAAAAATTAAAACAAAGTTCAGCTTTTAGAGGGTCATGCCCCATGACTGACCTGAATGCACTGAGACTCATGATTGGCCAATGTGACTCTGGGAGGAGCTTCATGTTTCCCAACCTGACACCTTGGGTTACCTGTTGTTTATAGTCCATTTCCTGACCTTCCAATTCAAGGCAGGTAACATGGAAAGACACCAGAGGTCTGACATATATATTACTGTATATCTATTTATTATATACTCTAACCAAAACAGGTTTATTCTGTACTTATATAGGTTGGGATCTCCACGAGGCCAGGTTCAGATGAGGCCAAGTTCACTAGTATTCACCCAAAAAAGCTAGACAACATAGCACTAGAGTTTCCATGTGCGGCGGAGGCCATCCAGTTTTCTACCTGAAGGCAACAAGATACTAACATACAGTATTTGCTAAGGTGGGGAAGTTTAGTGTGAGTATCATTCAAAGTTTGAAACATATACCTATACTCTCTCAACAGTGCATAATCCCTAAACTTACTTTGTTTAACTCGATTTTTTTTTATTCCATTTAACTGAGTTACCCGGTTTTTTTTTACTCAAATGAGATAAAGAGCAACTTTTAATGAAGTTCTATCTATATTACATAAATATTTCCTTCATATTCAATATCCTTTCACTTTAATGGATACCTATCTGAGAAGAGATATTCTGTACTGTATCTATTAATTAGTACCATAATTTATTCTAAATCCAACAAAGACAGACACACAGTACAGGACAACATTAAAAATTTTCCCATTTAAGATGACTGACATTAGTCACTTAGCATACACAGAGAAGAGTACTGTACCCACTAATCCCACATTGACAAAAATTTTCCTCTTGCCATATAATACACTGTAGGATTACCTTTAAAGGAAATAAAAAAATAATTTTAAAAGTAAAGTACTGTATATTGAGTACTACTGAACAATAACAATTCTACTATTAAAGGCATACAAACAGAACTATTTCAACATTAATGCAACAACCCATCTTTTGCATCTAATGGACAAATCCACCACAAGTGTTCTTAAAGCACTTTATTTTGAGCATTACTAATAATAAACCCAAGGGAAAGTAGGTATACAGTGTAGAGCATAAGGTGTGGTGTAAGAGATGAGGTACAGTACAAACAACGTCCACGATGACTTTCTCAACGGACACTTCATCATCACTTAAATTACTGCCCTACAAAGCCTATTTCATATCAAAATATTATTCACATCTAACAAATATTCAACTAGATATTCTACAAGTAATTCTTTACATGAAAAATTAAGAGAAGGATGTACCATGTGCCTAATGTACTGTAGTTTATGAGAATATTATAACTCTCTCTATCATTTCCAGCAAACACATGTAAAACTAGATTCAAATAAAAGTAGTGATTAAATCTATTACAGTTTAGTAAAAAATCAATCACATGGAGTGGAAAAAAATAATACAAATGATTGTCTTATAAGTATTTGAAGGGACTGTCATGAAGTTGCGAAGGATTTGTTGAGTTTACTTACTAACACAAAGTGACGTGGTGGAGCCCATAGCACCTGTGTCTTTGTATGGAGACATATAATTCAATACTCATAAATAAAACATAAATTGTAAAAAAATTTCACCTGTGAGTGTATACATTCATTTATCTGTGTACATTACAGGTTCTGACATAAAACCATTACTTAAGAACTAATCATTTCACTTAACTAATGTCATGACAATTTGTTTAAACCAATAATCTGCTGTCTACAGTTTGGCAAAAAACAGAGTGTAACTAGAAGATATGGCTCATTCATGTTTAAATTTGCAGACTCTGAATATATCAATACCAGATGAGAAGATGTTGTACACATACTCAGTCAAATACTGTAGTAGTATCCAAATTTTTAGGGAAAAAAATCAGGGCGTTTTTAATACCTGAATTGGTAGTTTTACCCCCAAATGACTATCATGATATACTACAGTAAAAGAAATCTTAGCATGTTTAAGTTAAAGTAAATGATGAATATTTAATTATAATTATTATAATGAATTAGAAATATTCAACAGACATTATGACACTTTGTCATTTGCCACACATACACTGTAACTAATATCATTATCATATATATATATATACTGTATCCCTAAGTCTTTATCATTGTTCCTTAAGCTTGAGTTACTTTTGTCTGAAGGTAGGTGTTACTCACATTAATTCCAAAGCCTCATTAATGATACAGCTACTTTGGCCAATATAAACATATAAAATTACTCTTCTGCAATATTTCTTATGAATGTGAGAAAAATATATATATATACCTTAACAGTACTAGTTGGGGCTCGGAGTGTGTGTTTGACATTAAAGCATCAGTCACTGTGCTCCTTCTTCTTTGTAGAGACCTTGGATAATACTGCAGTTGCTCCACTGGCCACAGTGCCAGCAGTTCCAGCAACGACAGTTCCAGCAGTCCCTACGACTCCTGCGCCAACACTGTATGTCGTCCCTGCAACCCACTTGACACCTGTCACACCAGCGCCCACAGTACTTGAACCTGAGAGACAAATGTAATATTCTTCAAAGATTTGTAAATAATTTTTTCAATTGCTTTTACAATACAGTACAGTATATCTATACAACACTAACTCCTAAATTCATGTAGTTCCTTATAATGTTGTCTTGCCCGACTGTTATTGATGCATTTGGGAAATTTCTTTTTAAATCAAAGTAATTGTTGATTGTGAAAATGTTATGACACCATCCCCAGAGCTCTGCAGATTCTGTGTCACACACTTTTCAACCAGTCCAGTTACCAGACTGCACATGTACAGTACATCATCAAGATGATCTTCCTCTTTATCCTGTGAGTGGCACTGGTCATACTGCTGCTGTTTTCTTTGGACTTATCATTGTACAGTCTGAGTCAAAAGTTTGTGTGAAGCAATGAAACTGTCATTCGAATGAGTCTCCAAACTTACATACCTTGACTGACGTCTGGTGCAGGTGTACTGGTTTATCTCATTTGGAGTCAATATTACTTCACATGAACTTTTGATCTTAACTGTATATCATCAGCTTCATCTTTTACAAACAGGAATTGTCTTACATGCCAGGTATGAATAAGTCCTTGTTTGAGTTGGCTAACGTATTCATATTTATTACATTCTAATCATTAGTCCTACTCACCTACAGTATAAATTCCCGAGGCTACTCCAGACACAGCCCTCTTCAAGTAGCCTGGCTGTTGTTCTGGCTTAGTATCAGGGGGGGTGGTGGGAGTTGTGGGTCCACTTTGAACTGGACTGTTTGTGGTAGTTAATGTAGTCGAAGAAGTGGGAGCTGCAGTAGTGTTGGGTCCCTGAAACAATCAACATTTACTCTTAAAAACATAAATATCCAACATTTAAGGACACCAGTCAAAGAATATTGTTCAAACAATACATACACGTACCTTATTGCTTATAAACAAATCAATACTGTAGTCTGTATCCCAATTCCGTGTTAACATCAAGCACCTGTCTAATCTTTTACTTCTTAGGCTAAATAGTGATCACCACCACCCTTAATTTGTTGAATACTGTATTACTAGAATGCAGTAAGCTTCAGTTGAAAGGCTTCGCATCTTAAGAGGATACAGTAAATTCTCAAATATCCACAGGATTATGTTCCCTGGCTTAAGGTTGTTCCCATACGGTATCTTAGATGTTCAATCCCTCATAATGCACTTAAAAATTTACAATAGGTGCTCCCCCATTTGGAGTATTGTCACCCCATCTGATCCCCGAGATATGCTAGAGCCTCAGTAAATTAAGAAAATCCAAAGAAGAGTCACCCGACTGGTGCCTGCACTACAATACCTCAGATACCCAGACAGATTAGAATGACTGCAATTGCCTAGGTGGGCAAGGGGCATATGCGTACTGAATTTGGTCCGACAGAGTGATCACAACCCCCATGAGCTAATAAATTTATTCCGGTCCAACGAATTACCCAAATGTACCCAAAAGTACCCAAAAGTATATTAAATCAGGGTAAAATCTTAACAAATATATGTTTTACATCAATAAAACCTGATTAATAATGTTTTCATTGAAATGTAGTCAAAATAATGAAATAATAAACAGCGAAAAACGCTTAATTCCAAAGAGGTACCTATCCAAAATGGAGATATAATTACCGATGTTTCTGTTACTTTGGGGTATTTAACATAGCCGTAGGATTTACTTTTCGTTAGGTTAGGTTAGCGAAGTGCATCACGATGGATCCGAGTTATCTCCCTTGTTCACGAACTCTTTGGAATTTAGCGTTCGCCAATACTGAAAGTTTTTCACTGTTTATTATTTCATCTTACAAATTATTTTTACAAAATTACACTAAAAATATTAATAAACATGTTTTGTGTATGTATAACAGATATTTGTTAAGATTTTACCCTTATTTGCTGTACTTTTGGGTACTTTTGGGTAATTCGTGGCTCCCAATTTATTCCAATATATCCTTTTTAACAAGAAATAATAATGATAATAAAATAAATAAAAATAACAGCATCACTAATTGAATGGTAAGCTCATAATGAACGTACAGAAATATATTAATTATCTCGTTTAAAGTTTGACCCCCCGGCAAATTTCTGGGTATAACACTGGCAAGGGGCAATTTAATATTAGTCTATAAACATCTCAGAGGACATTACTAAGTCAAGTGTAATGCCTGGAACTAGCAGATGACCACCCCACTAAGGGTCACAGATTAAGGTTAAAGAAACCACAAGTTCAGAAAAGTCTGGAGCCAATACATGCCCAGTACTCACCAACAGTGTGTAATAGACATAACTGACCAGTCAAAGTGGCTAACAGGCCGATCAGTGGCGAAGAGAATAACATTACTATTTATTTCCTTTAACACCAGACATACATTTAGTGCATTAAATCAAGTATGTCAGTAAATATCCAGTCAAAAGGTTTATTCTTCCTAGCCTAACCTTACCTTACAACTAACGAAGACTGTTATATAATCAACGAAGAAGACTGTTGTATAATCTTAAGTTCTGGCTAAATTACCCTCTCAAAATATGCTCATCTCAGATCTAAAATTAAATTATATATTATGTAATGGTACAATTCCTATTTATAACGTTAAAAATAACAATTTGGAAACTTGTATAAGATATATAACAATAACCAGCTTAAAGACACCGCCAAAGCTGCTAAACACCTCAAGTAGTTAAGACCCACAACAAGGACAACTACACCCAAACGTGACCTCTAATTACCACAACAATTACACGTCACAACAATTGTGATTCTTTCTTGGTAATAATTAATTATATATTTACCGGTCTAATGTAGTCGTAGAGGCCTTTAACGTAGCTAGTCATGCTTGTGGAGCGCAGGAGAGCGCTATACCAGGAGGCAGACGGCCTTGGTATCAACCAGACTTGCTGTCGAAAGTGAGAACAGGTCCTGCTGATTTGACTTTGACACTGATTAAATTATTAAACAAACCACTCGTATACTTTATCATAATTTGGTTTTCAACTTTTTTTTTAAATTATTTTATATTTGTCAGTGTTAAATAATGATAAAATAAAGGTAAATCGACATGTAACACTTACGCCTCCGTCTTGTTTATTTTGCACAGCTGCGCGTGGCACATCGTTTAACCTAAGCTCTGATTGGTGGAAAAGCTCCACACTGGACCAATCAGGAGCCACGTCCCAAAAAATGAATGCCACCTCTATGACGTTTGACAATTAATGTGCCAGAGTCGTTAACGTGGTGCCACTTGTAGCTGTAGATTTGATTTTTTAATACTAAACATTATTAAGCATTTATTTTAATGCAAAGTGTAAACTAGGAATAAAACCAAGAGCTAGTTATGACACCATGAATTATCTTATCAGGCTCCATTTAAAAGGAAAAATAAAAGATCGTAAAATTGAAACAAAGCAATAATTTGATAATCCTGTAATGTCTTTTATCCTCTTCGCCACTGATTGGCTTGTCTACAAAATACCCAGATAAAAAAACTATGAGTGCACTGTATATAGCTATGTCTAATTATATAAGATGATTCGCCTGGCATTAATCACGTATCTCTGAGGAAACAAAAATTATTAAAACATAACAGGTTTCCTTGGTCCGCCTGAACTGCTAATAAGCTGAAAAATGGCGAAAAATATGAAAAAATAAACCTATAGTAAATTTAAAGTACTTAATTTGTTCCTTGCCGGTTTAGCATTCCACCAATCAAAAAAAAATTGTACAAATTCCGAAAGCGAAAGAGTTTCTGACAAATTTATGAGAAACAAATTTGTTAATTCTTGAATATATAAAACCTCAAAGCCTGTGTACTACTGAAGCTTCCCGCCCTTTTTAAGTATTATTATTTTGTATATTAATTGCAAGAATATTTATATCAACGAGTTCTCAAGCTTTTAAGTAAATTAAAAAAATAATAAATAACCACATGAGCATATTTGTAATTATATAAAGTATTTTTTTTGGCTGTAACATTAGGTTTTATAACACTTTACTAGTTAGCTAAAATTAAAGTGAGGTCTAGGGGCAGCGCATGCGTGAGGGGGGACTTGGCGCCATCTGAGGAGGTGTTCAGTGAAGTTATCTGGAAATATCTTGTAAAATGACCGACAAAGAGGGAGCGAAGGGTAAGCATACAACTACTACAAGAACTACCAAGTGTCAGAGGGGTAATATTTATAGTTTATGTGTATAATTATCAAATACTGTACAAGGTAGTGATAATATAATTTCATGTTTGGCGGGATCATAATCCATGCTTTGTTGATAAGTAAACATTATATGATTTGTTTGGTTTTCTTATTTTAAGTCTTATTTAAATTATTTATGTCCTATGCAGAGGAAGGTAACAATATATATTCCTATTATGTATACATGTAGCTTGTAGTTATTAGCCTGTGTTAATTGTATGGTGAGGACGGGCCCACAAGTGTCCGGTGTCTGAATAGAATGGAAGGTAAACGGCACAGGGAACATGGCACAACTGTCACACTCGGAAAGTATGGCCAAAAAAAATTGAGGCACAATTGTTAAACTTGTTAAAAATACACTAAACGTTTTTTTTTTATTGAGTTAATATTTTCATTTTAACACATAAATGGCCATTTCCAATGGATGTTGTAGACTGCACCTTGGAGGAACTCTAATACTGACTTGCGGCCTGCTCGACGTTCCTGGGAGAGGGTTTCAGTCTCGGTTGGAGGTTCATTTAACGTAATGGATATTTTGCCGTGACCGACTAAATTCCTACTAACGCTATTTTACCGTGAGTGTGCTCTGGTTGGCTAAGTACTTTCTATTTTTTATGATGGCGGGGGGGGATCTGCCCCCCAGCTAGGAAGTTAGGTAGGTTTCTTTGATTGGTTAGGTCACGTTCTAGTAAATGTCGCCTCTTCTATAATGATGAAAACATCTGTGGAAAAAAAATTGAAGTCTCTCCTGGTTAGGTATGTTAATAGCTACACAACGACCGATTCACGGTGAAATAAATGCCAAATGCCGCCAAAGTCACGGTCACATACCGTTCTAGCGTTCGCCGGTAATGGACGATTGGCCAAACAGAGTGCACTCATGGTAAAATAGCGTTATTGGGCACTTAGCCGGTTATAGAAAAATATCCACTACCTTTGATGCTTCTTGGGTGGCTCATCACGGGACTCCTTGAGATTCTGATAGGACACTAACAGATAGTTGCTTGTGACGTAGGTCTTGAAGTTTGTCAGAAAGGGTTCCGTGTCATCAAGCGTGTGTGTTGTTTGATGTAGTTGATGCTAGCAGGTATGCCCTCAAGACAGAGCATCCCACAGAACAGCTTGTTGTCCTCACTCTCCTGGTAGATCAGGGATGGGGAACTTTTTAGGTTGGAAGGACCAGATTGAAATAATAAGCGAGTTTCTTGGCCCACTTACATTTTTAAATTTAATAATACAGTAATCTATGCAAATTTAATAGGTACGACCACATTCCTGGAACATCATTCCAATGCCGTTCCATTAATATATGTTTTATAATAGTGTATACGTATATCCTTTAAATTTCATCCAAATCTATCAACAAATTCTGTACTTTACCACCTGAGTATCCCCGTATAAGAGATTAAAACCCACTGAACTCAAGTATAGTCATGGACCACCCCGAGACCCCTGCTGTAAAGTCTTGATATGCAGAGTTCTTGGATTTTTCTCCAGGATGCTTGTATTAGATGGTAGAAGCAGCCATAGCAGATCACTTCATTACCGAGGACATTTTCGATAGCTTGTTGAATTGCTTGTTCAAATGATGTCCACCAGTTACATGAAGAAATGTAAGGTTTGATCTGACTCCCCCCCCCCCTTCCCCCTCCTTCCTTGTGGTATTACGACATTTGATAATTGTGGAAAAAAATGGTTATTTTTTTTAGTGTGAAAGTTGTGCCTTTCATTCCAGTTCCAATGTTTTCTCTTGTCATTTTTTCTGAGTACAGTCTGAATGTTATCATTATTGAATGCCACTGGTTCATACAGTATATCACTATCAGGTGTCATTTGTTTCTGTTTGTGTACAGTAAATATTTCTCCAACAACAATTTGTTAGCATCTACTACCATGCTCAGGTCCTTTTCGTCCTCTAACCTCTAATTTTAGCACCATGGAGCACATGTGATGCATATTACACCCTAAATGCAAACTTATACAAGTGTACAGGTATTGTTTCAAAGTTCTTAAAATTTCAATAAGAATTCATCTTAGCTTTTATTGGTGCAAAAAAAGATAAAAATTAGTTGCAGTATTCTAAACTGCCGTATGAAAAGTTGAATGATATACTGTAATAAAATGTATTCATTATTTATAAATCAATAAACTCAATTTGTAGCTAATGGTTATGTTACCTCTTCATGTTTATTTGGTGTCTTATATAATAAAGCAGTTGCAAAGAAATGAATGATACATGCAGAAAAATTTTATCTCTGCCAAAAATATCATCAGAAATGTAACATTAGTATAAACATACAATACATGCATACAGTAGTTGATGGCCAGCTGACTGCACCTACTGTTCTGGCAATATTAATCACTTAGCAGTAAATATTGTATACAGTACAGTTCTTAAAAAGCTTGGTGATTGTAACTTTTATATGGTAAAAGTGATGTTTCAAAATATAAATTGGCACAGGGAAAGTACAATATTGTACAGTATAATCTGAATTTAAGACTTTATAAAACTTGGTAATTTTTTGGTTGAATCAGGTTTGTTTTTCAAGTTGCCATAGGGGAAATATCCACAGCCTCCTGTACTTTGGGTTTGTTTATATGCATGGTACGTTTTTATAAAGAATTTTACGTTACTTTATATGGTAGCTATACAAGGTACTCACATTTTGGATATGGTGTATTATTGGAGGTTATGGAAATTGACTACTGGTATATAAAGAGTATAGGACCTGTACTGTACATAATTTTTTATTCTCCATGGTGTACTGTATTAAGAATACTTTATGCAGTTTCTACATTGCAACTTGTGTTAGTCATTGATTGTGTAAAAGAAATGAGTCAAAATTATATTTATTTTATATAGGTGAATGATAAATTATTTTTCCAAATTTTCTTACAGAATTACTAAATAGTGTTTCTTATTGTAGAAAAATGGTGCCTGGAATCAAGAACAGCACCGTCATATTCTGGCACTCTTTCCATTAACTGTAATAGATGTTAGACTATGATGTTACCCTTCCCTAACAATGCACCCTAACTCTTGTAGTCACTTGGAATAACCCAGCATCACACAAGACACATGTTCATGCCTATACAGTACTGTACACACCTCAACACCTTGCCTACTGATCGTGCATACATGGCACTCTTTCCTGCATGTCCAGTTCTCCCGTGTGTGTTTGTAAAACTAACCATAGTTATGTAGCTAACACAGGTAAATGATGATTTGCTCTGTGAATCTTAAATGTTTACAGTGTAGCACAGTTAGAGCATTCTCCCTGCAGAGAGACGGTTTGGGATTCCTTCTCATACACCAATTCATTCACTTAGGGATAGTAAAAGGAGCTTGGTGAAATGATGCTTGGTGTATTAGCATCATTCCAAGAGGGGATGGGATAACTCACTAATTGCTGAATGCTAAGAATCAGAATCAGGACTTGCTTGGTCAGCCTGCATGTTTGGAGGCAAGGCTTATGTGTGTGTGTGTGTGTGTGAAGTTATATATCACTAAACAATATTGGGAGACATGTGTGATCTTGTAATCAGTCTGTTTTGTTGTATAACATTTGTCCATTAACTTTAGAAAGGCTTCATATATTGAAATGAAATTAGGTAAATGCAGACTCACATGAATATTTAGGTCTATGGCATCTTAGGGGGCATTAGAGAGCCTTGTTAATGCCCCTTTATGAAATTTTGAGATTTCTTGAACTTAATGCAGTATTTCTTGTACAAGTGTGCAAATACCACTTTCCAAACTCTTAGTTGCTCTTTGGACTTATTTTCAATATGGTGTACCATAATGTATGTACAGATACAGTACTAATCTTCCTGCACTACTATGCCTGGGATGACATCTCATAACCCTCTACAGTGGAAATTGTTTTAAAATCGATGGTTTTTCATTTCTATTCAGTGACATAAAAAATTTGGTAATCCTTGGCTGAAATCAGTTATTGTATTCTTGCTAGCAGTTTGGGAAAGAAAATTTACCTTACCATATAAGAATGTGGTGTAGGTGAGGTTTAGTGTTGTACATGTATGGAACTTAGGACAGCCCTTGTTTTTATTATACAAGTACTGTAGCTCACTTGAAGTAGATAGAGTACTTCTCTTCCAACATATATATTTTGATAATTTGTTACGAAGACATCATGAATCTTCATTATTATACAGTATATATACATTGTCGTAGACTTATAACTGCATGATTATCAGTATGTATAAAGTACAGTACAGTATACAAGTATTTTTAGATAATTATAATAATTGTTTTTCACCATATATATAGTTTGGTGAAAAGGGCTTACATACATGTAAAAGGAATTGCCTGACTCTTGGTTGTCAACTTTAAAAGTGCAATCATTTTTCCTTTAGAAGTAGTTTACAGTATTAGTAATCAGCTGTAAGTTAGGGAAACTAAAGAAAATATTCTTTTGTGTTGTGTAGTAGGGGATGGTGGTGGCCCTGCGCCTGTGCGTGCGGCACCAGACCTCCCGACAACCGTGGCTGTGGCAGAGGTAACACCTGTGCAACGTCTGCAAGGTGGGCCACGGAGTCATTTGCTAGATGGGTGACATTCCATCTCCTTATTTAAGTGGCACTGCTGTGCTTTCCTTTTCAAGTGACTCAATGCTGCCCACTGTGGTAAGGGATTTCACTTGAACCAAGGCTGATTTTCACAAAGATTGTCTCTAAGCCTGGTCAGATACCCATTAGGGGCACCATTGTCATACCCTCATGATGTATATTGTAGTTTATTATGTGTTGACAGTTTATATGTAGTTTATAATGTGTTGACAGTTTATATGGTGCTTAATTCTAGTTTCATTCTCAGCCATAGTGGGTGAATCAGGCACATTTGTAATGGAAAGGGCAACTGTTGAAAAAGTACTTTAAATGTTGTGCTAGTAGTAGTATTTTTCTATAATTTAAATTTCCTTAAATGTCTGGTTGTTGGAACTGTAATTCTTTCACTCATAACGGAGATATTAATTTTGCACTAAGATTATTTGTGCTATTTTACAGACACATTTGATGATGCAGTGGAAGAGCGTGTTATCAATGAAGAGTATAAGATATGGAAAAAGAACACACCCTTCTTGTATGACCTTGTGATGACTCATGCCCTAGAGTGGCCATCACTTACAGCACAATGGCTCCCTGATGTCACAAGGTACTCTTCTAATTTAGCTGCCACAAGGAATGAAGGGTTACTACTAAAGCAATGATGGTTGTATTTTGTTTTGTGAGCTAAATGATCAATGATCTGTGTTTGTCAGTCACAAGTCCACACAGGTGGCCAAAGATTTACAGTACAGAGCTTGTTAATCTGTATCCGTCACCTATTGTCATGTCTAAATTAGTGGAAAGTACTAGCAGAACTAGTTGTCACCAAGGCAAAACTCGTCATGAGACTAAATTTTGGTGGGCTGGGAATGCATGGGTGAGGAAGGTAGGTGACGCTACTGCCACACTGAAGTGCGAGATTCAAAAGGATGCAATATCATACCAGCGATTTATATAAAATATTGTTCCCTGATTATTAAATGACTATATCAGAACAATGCTGTTTAGTATGACATAAATCAGCAAATGCCAGTACAGTAATTACAGTGTGAGTTGAAATGGGAAAAAATTGCACCGTTCCTTCATAGAAAACGTGTCTTGGGACTTCTCAGGGGCTCTTTGATTTCATATCTTTTTGGAATATTTTCTATAGGGAACTTACTTGCTTATAATTTAGCAGCTTACAAATGCATATTAAGAAACTACAAAGATTAGTTTTAGTATTGCCTTGAACACTACAGCTTTCTCAAGATTATAGGTCTCCTTTCCATGAATGACCACAGAGAATCATATCCTTACTTTTATGGTAATTATAGAAACTGCTAACTTTATCCAGCCATTCACAAACCGAAATACTGTACCACTTTGAAGGTAAAGAGTGGGAAAGGAGACAGGACTGCTTGAGATAAAGTGAATGAGTCATGGATATTGTTTTAAAGAGTTATATACAGTGTTACTAAAGTGTCAGCCACCTTGTTTGATGCAGCAACAGTATTTTCAGTTTAGGTAATATGGGATATCCTTATATGGTTTACATGTTTCATCATGTTATAATATAACCTAAATTTTGTCACAAGTGTGGTTATCTTTTTGCAGACCGGAGGGCAAAGACTACAGCATTCATAGGCTGATCCTTGGTACACACACCAGTGATGAGCAGAACCATCTGCTTATTGCCTCAGTTCAGCTTCCAAATGAAGATGCCCAGTTTGATGCATCACATTATGACAATGAGAAAGGCGGTATGATTTTTTATTTTCTCTCATTCTTGTTATCTTATCCCTACTATGTTACAAGGTGGCTGGAATCAGCAAACATATGTACTCTCTCTATTTGTTGTTATTCATTTACTTGAAGCTGCTGTGATATCTCCACAAACCAATTGATGCCAGGCTCTTCTTTTATTAATGTACTTCTGCTTCCTGAATATCCATTCCCATCACTTTTGTTGTATTCTTTGCCCTAACCACCCCTTTCCTTTTAGAGTAAACATCCTTAATGGCCTAAAAGTATTTGCATATTACCTGCTAGCTGTGTTAAAGGTAATTAATTTTTCTTTTCTTTTCAGTGCATTCCCATAAAACATTGACTGAACTTTGACAAGTTTCAACGTTCTTGTTTCAGAGTTTGGAGGTTTTGGATCTGTCAGTGGAAAGATTGAGATCGAGATAAAGATAAACCATGAAGGAGAAGTAAATAGAGCTCGATATATGCCTCAAAATCCATGTGTCATTGCCACTAAGACCCCTTCTAGTGATGTGCTTGTCTTTGATTATACAAAGCATCCATCAAAGCCTGACCCATCAGGAGAATGCCATCCAGATTTAAGGTGAGTACAGCAACACAGTTTAGGTACTGATCTAACATATGACTGGAATTATTTGGATTTGATTCTAAGATTTGTTGGAGTAAGTAGAACATTATTTCCAGGGTGAGAACTCTTGAAAAACACATCTTTTCATTTCTTATCTTACAGTACAGTACACAATGTCTGTATACACTTAATCTTTCACTTAATTTCCGTTTGCTGATGTATTTTGACCAGACAGTGTACAATGCAGAAACCATATTGCTGTATGACTTATATGGAAGATGTAAATGTCGTATCATATGTTTTTATTATATTTTCAATAGATAGACCCAATTTAAAAAAATAATATTTGTTTACATGTATGTACTGTACTGAAGTAATTTAATTATTCTTTTGTATATAAAAACAAATGTTACGTTACAGGCTCCGTGGTCACCAAAAGGAAGGTTATGGCTTATCGTGGAACCCCAACCTGAATGGCTATCTCCTTAGTGCTTCTGATGATCACACCATTTGCTTGTGGGATATTAATGCAACTCCAAAAGAAAACAGAGTTATTGATGCTAAGACTATCTTCACAGGACACACAGCAGTTGTTGAGGTTAGTGAAAATAAGGTGGATGCTCTAGTATTTTTTTTTAAGACGGTGTCGGCAAGGAAGTATTAAACGTACCATACAAGGAGAATAGTAGAGGTAGTTTGGGATTTGTCTTGTAAGTGAGTATGGTTAGATGTGTTGTGCAATGTCTTGTTTTTCAAGGACAGGGATAAAGGTGAATGTTTATTGGGTGAGCCATATCATCAAGTAGAAGACATAATGTGAATGGGTAAATTAATAGGTGATTCTACTTTGCTACTGTGAGAAAAATGGAGGGATCACCAACAGCAAACAACAGTGCCACGGTATAGATTTGTTGTAGCCGTGTATAGTCAGCTAAAGATTCATCGGCCCCACCCTGGCTATCGTGCTCGCAATTTTACCTGATAATACTTGAAGTAAGGCTGTATGTAATGGGGATTGTGATTGGTAGATCTGTTTTTGACTATATCACTGTCAGGATAAATATTAAACAATTGAAAGGTAGCATTTTTATAATAATAAACTATTCATCATTGTTTAAGATCGCGATAAGTTTCAAACGTTTGTATATTTGCTTCAATAATGAACAAAATATATTAATGAATTGGTAATGCAACTACAACCAGGGCTGCCACAAAATTCTCGCATCAAATTTCAAGAATACGTTCCACACTTAATCGCGTGAATGCTTGATTATAAAGTAACATTTTCCTCACTTGTTGATGTGTGAGGTCTTCAAGTGAGGACTGATCTATTGCAGTACTGTACAAGCTTTCACACAATTGCCTCAAAAGTTTGTAAGGCAGTGTGCAGACATAATTTTTTTGAGACACCTTATATAATCAAACTTTTTCTTAAATCCTATACATATTTAACCCTCTTTAGATTAAGCAACCAGAAAAGACGTATAATTAGTAATTTAATAATTCTTGAAACTTAAAACTTAAGGGCGTGAATGGAACTATACAATATTTAGTTTTTAGTAAAAATTTTCAACGAGAGAGATTAAAGTTCTCTCTATTTCTACACATAACCTCAGATTATGTCAGCCTCTATTCATAATCTGTCATAATCTGTTTCAGGGTTATTGACAGATTTAGATTTACTGTACTGCCCACCTGACCACAGTCCTGCACTTTGACCTAACTAACATATGTACTGTAGTCACCTGGTGTAAGTGTATGATTTAGAACTGTGTGGTGGCCTGATAGATGAGACTTGTGTTTATTACTGTAAATTGTGTCAAGACTCCAATCTCATTACTCTGGGTGTTAACCTTTTTACTTTGGGAATGCCACTTTTAATATTTTATTGGGCTAACACCAGATGATTTTGTTCAGCACAGAGGGGACCCCATACACAAGACATTAAAAAAAAATCCTTTGTTTTAAGGGGGTGTTGGTCCTAAAACTTAAAGTAGGGAATTTTTAGGGTACTTGGGTTGATTTTTTGCACAGAAATACCTATTATTTGATATAAAAGCATAAAATATACTTGTATACAGTACTGTACAAATATATATCACTATTAAAAACATTATGAACTATAATTTAGAGATGTCTGTACATGCATATTTCCCCTGTTATGGCTGTTCATCAACTGTTGGTCCTTCACTACAATTCTCTTTGTTTATTATCTATTATTATGTCTAAAATGACAGTCACTGCTTCTTGATTAAGTATACTTGGAGAAGCACTGGCAGATGTTTTTGACTCATTGTACATGATATGGGGTGGCCTCTCAAGAAATAAATGTGATCATACAAAACAACTTGCATCACACATTCAGTTCAACACAATTGTTACTCTGGTATCAAATTGCCATCGTCTTCTACGATGTGTAACAGGAAGCATAGTTGAGTGAAAATACATCTTTGGGCATTTAGAAGGTTCTTGTTAGTTTCTGCACTACTGGAAATAATTTTTGTGCTATGGGTTAAATTTTTTCTTACTATATGTTGTGATGAAATGAAGTACGTTACAATAATAAAATATATAGGTCGTGGAGATTAGATTGCAATACTCAAAATAAAGCTTTGTGAATTTGTGATTAACAAGGACCGCCTGCATGTACATTAAAAATTGGTTGATATATTTAACTTGAGAAATTTATCTTTTAGGATGTGGCGTGGCATCTTCTACACGAGTCACTCTTTGGTTCTGTGGCAGATGATCAGAAGCTCATGATCTGGGATACACGAGCTAACAACACAAATAAACCTTCACACACAGTGGATGCCCACACTGCTGAGGTTAATTGTCTTTCCTTCAATCCCTATTCAGAATTTATCCTAGCTACTGGCAGTGCTGACAAGGTAATTACTGTTTCTTGTTTTGAATAATATAAGTTATGAAATTTTATTGTCTAGTAATCACTAGTGAAATATATTCATGTCATATTAAATTGTATACAAGCATGATTATTTTGATGTATTTTGTAGATGTAAACCCTTGTATGCTAATGTTAGAAAGTAAAACCTTTACTAAATTTTAAGTCACAGTACAGTATTCACATCTTGTAGTTTGTATACAATATATATGCTGAAAATGTCAACGGGTCATAGGCTTTTATTCCCTCCTCTTCCAAACAAACGTTTTGGGTATATAGAGGTGAGACTGTATGTCCATAATTAATTTTATTTATACTTAATGAATTACAGTCTGAATGGGTCTACATAAATTTTTTGTATGAACCTCTATCATATTAGGACAGTTAGATTCTTACTTGGCATTGTGATTTTAAAACTCTAATTCTGCTTGACAGCTGACTTTCCACACTCTGGAAAAGCTATTCGGACCATATCTGAATCTGAATTCTAAAAGAAAATGGTGTCTTTTCGATGTGGCACATTTTGCGAGTGCAATCAATGCCTGGTTTAGGTTTTACAGTCGTTTCTTGTAATGTAGTCTTTATTAGCTAATTGTTTCATGGTGGTCAAGTTGATGATGGTAGGTGCATTGACATATCACTTGTCAAACTATTTCAGACAGTTTTTCTGGTTTTTGTGACAATCATTTTTCACTTTTAGGGATTTGGCATTTGTTTCTCATTTGTCTTGATGGTTCCTCATGCACCAATTTGCTTTGTATGGAGGTATTCAGACAACTTGGGGCTTGTGTACCAGTTAACATTATGCATAATTGACCTATAGTATTCATGACAAAGCCAAATTTTCCCAGTTTGTCATCAGGTTCAATCTGTGTCTGATCCCACGTAGAATGTATCCATTGTCACACTTGAGGAGCACAAACAATTTAGCTCCTAACTTGTATCTCTTAGTATGTTTGCCAGAAGTCTCGGAAGGGGGTCAATATATTGCCAGATATTTTTATTTGATATTTTTTCTTAGTATTTGTAAACTGACAAAATTTTCCTTATTGGGTCAGTTTCATCTTGTCATTTTCCTGAAATTTGGAGAAGTTTTGGTAGCAGGAAGAATTGGTCAAGAGGTATTGTGTATATTCTTGTTTCTAGCATTGTTACATTATCTTCAATGTTGCTTCACGTTTACTTTTTTCACATAAGTTATCAAAAGATTTACTGAAAAATAAATATACTGGTATGTCATTCACTTCACCTAGGGAGTGGCTGATGTTGAACTAGATAATGTATGCTCCATGATATGATCGAAGTACCTGTTAATTTCATCTACGTTATGAAATTTAACCTAAATAGACCTGGAACTAAGGATAATTTATACTTATAATTTCTCTACTTAATTATCCATGTAATAATAAAACAACCCTCCTTATTAGGGTATGGTATGGAGGTGGTTAGGTCTAATTGGATAGTTCCCGAGATTTGTTATTTGCGTTTAGACGTGTCTATAGTGAGAGATCCAGGTGGAGTTGGAGGAGCATTTCTGTTGGCAGCACCTCTACTGTTGTTTTCAGTAATTGGCTTAGTTGCTCTCTTGTGGAAAGTTAGTGAGCTACACAAAACATGGGCTATTTTACTCAGTCATAAAGTGGGTTTACAAAATACACCTCCTTCATTTTTGTTCTTCACAGACTTCATTTTGTGTGACTTTCATTACTATATACTGTACTGTACTTTACCTACAAAATTTGGGGCATAGAAAGGTAGTCTTAGTTTAATTTGTTGAGGTTTATTTGTTTTGACTTGCATTTTCAGGATTTTCTGTGCATACTATATACAGTACTGTGAAATAAAGGTTATTCAGTTTTAAGATAAAGCAAAACTAGTCTTGTCTTTTAAGTATTTATTTGTGTATTTTTAATGAATGCTGCTTGCTACAATTCCAGTAGAATTAGTATTTATTATTACAGTATTATTATTATTATTACAGTATTATTATTATTATTATTATTATTCATTTATCTCAGTTTTTGCTATGTTAATTTTTTTTATCCATTTAATACCTCACATTTCTTTTGGTTGTCTCATCCAATGTTTTATGTGTATGTAACATACTGTAGTATAACAACTAGTTTAGTTTGGCTTTTGAGCGATATACTTAATATTACTCATTCTTGTCTTCAGTTTTTCTTTTTCCTACAGTGGTACAAAATATAAACCAATTTTTATTTATTTGATGATCACTTACCTGAGTTAGATGGGTGTGGCAGCCAAGTGGATACAGTGCTTTTCTCCTGTCCTAATGGGTGCACCTGTGGTAACCCCACTTCACTTAGCTGTGAATAGGTACTTAACTTAATTGGGGAGAGTAGGTGGTTGAGTGCAATGCTACCTCCTTGTGTAATGATAAAAAGACTTTGTTGTGTGCTGTATCCACACTGCCCTTCACATGCTGTCAGGACCCACTCTCACTTTTGGTATAGAAGCTATATATTTCTGACCAATTTAACTTTTCCCTTGGTAATCTGTATATACTGTATTTTGTATTATTTTCTTTTTCTTTTTTATTTTAGTTATTTTAGGTTCATACACAGTCATCAATCATAATGTAGACAAAATAAAATGACCATGATTGTTATGCCCTACTAAAGTCATGTGGCATTGTTGTTGAACTTGTCCCTCCATCACAAGGAATTTACAGACATAAAGACAGGGTAGAGCTTGCATTCAGATCTGAGCAGCTCATAGATGTGCAGGAACAGTGCCTGAAATGTTTTAAATCAATTGAAATCAGGGTTGAATGCAATAAATGCTGTATGATTGTGATGGTGGCGTAGCTTTCCCTATTGTGGTTGTTTATAAAAGATGTAGTCAATACTTTGGTAACTTTGAACTGAAAGTCATATTAAAGCTTGTGCTCATTGTATGTTGTGCTTTATTTGGTCTGATAATGTGTTCCAAATGTCTGCAGCCTTTGCTTCCATTAAGATTAATGCTCACCATCACCCATGCATCATTTTGTAATGATAGTTGGAACACAGTAACTTGAGGTATGTTGCTGTATATAAAGAATAACATACCTCAAGTTACTGTGTTCTATAAAGCAGGGCACACCAAAGTGTTTTTTACATGCATGATTTTTGGCCTTTATATATGTTTATGTCGTCTATTTCTCAAACATGTCGAGAGTATTTTGACACTGACTACATAGATTGCATATACAGTACATAGTTTTCTCTAGATACACTTGAATAGGGTGTTAATGTTCAGAATAGTCAATAGAGTCACACACATGCACACTCACACCACACATTTGCATACTTATGAATACATAAAATGCATCCTTTAATTCATGTATGATATGCTATTTCTGATACGGGTATCTGTAAATGTTGAGAGTGTGAGGGTTTTCACTTAAGTACTGTATATCATTGATCACTTTTTTTAAGCTATGTATTATTTGCTGTTTCACTATCATGTATTTAGACTGCCATTTTGATGTGAAACACTTAACTTCTCCACATTACTGATGGCTGAATCAGCTTCACTTTTCTGCTTTGTTTCCGTGTGTTATGATAGTAGCTTAAATTTGTCACTGTTCCCCTCCATGCTTCTATTTGTGTGTTGTTTAACTCACCTAGTTTGAAGCTGATTTTTTTGTTGATAATGCAGAGAGCAATGCTTCATGTGTAACCTTTAAAAGCTAAGCTGCAATTTGTTTTTGTTGGTAGCAATTCCAAAACAGTGCCTGTTGTAAATGTTCAACACACATTTGTACCACCGTGTATATGCACCATGTATAAATTATTATGAAATTTTCAAGTATGAAGTTTAGCATTATGGCCTAAATAAATGCTTGTTTTGTATTGTAGTAATAGAACTATTTGAATCTTGAATTGTATAGTTTTCTATGTTTTGGTTATTGTTTGCAAATGTTTCCGTCGAGCTGTGTTTAATAGATTGTGTCGGGTTGACAAGATGAATTATGTAGTATGAGAGAGACATTTACTGGACTCGAGCAATAATCCTTCATTAGGACGTATATTAACCATAAGGAGAACTTTTGGATTGTGTGGCTGGATTAATTTTGTAGAATGTTAAAGTTTATTTATTTATAATGTTTCATGACAATATCTAAGGATTTTATATCAATAAAATTATAATGGAAATGTTAAAAAAAATGTCAATTCAGGCCAAATTTTATTTGTCAAGAGTTGTTGTGAATGATGTCAGTGCTTTGAATTGTATAGTATTTGATATATTTGATGAGAAGCATTGTACAGTACTCATTAGTAGGGTGTGGCTGCCTAGTGGATATGCTACCTGGGGTACCACTTTCATTTACCATGCTATGAATGATAGCGAACTTTATTGCTTGGGAAGTGAAGCTGATCAAGTGCAGTGCTGGCCACATTGCCGCCTCATGTATTGAAGGCTTGGTACTCAGTATGCTTTATCTTCGCTGCTCCCAAGAGGCTATCAAGCTTATGGGACCCACTTCTACTTTGTCATTAGTTACAACTACAGGGATATTGATCATGGGATACTTGTTTGTTTAGCAGGACAAAATAATAATAGCAATGTTGAAGCTAGAATCTCTTGATTGTGATGTGTTTCACCAAGACAAATCAATAATCAATGGATCTGTTTTAGTGAAATATTGTACACTTTCAAGATTACACCTCTGAAAAACATTGTTAATTAGAGTTGTACATAATTGTACAAAGCCCATGGTCACAATGGAAGATCAAAACATTGATCAGATTTGTTAAAAGTTATGGCTGCTCTCTTGTAGCTGGTAAACATGTTGTTCTGCATTATAAGTTATGGAATAGCCACAGGTAGAGGTTATTGCAGGAAATATTTAATTTGTTTTAAACATGCAGATGGACACAAAAAAATGTGCTTTAGAATGGAAAACTGCTAGATGCCATTATCAATGAACTAAGTCATTGGACCTAATTTGTTGTGATAACTAAGAATTTACATCGCTTGTAGATAACTTGAAATTAAACTTTGTTACTTGAAAATTAATAATACCAATGAAAAATGTGATTTTGGTGAATAATTATCAAAGTGAGACTGCTAACAGCAAGTCTTAAACTAAAGATTTAAATTTGCTATACATTCAGATTTTGATGTACTTTTGAAAGGAAAAAGTAATTACTGTACTGACATACATTTGTCATAACTGTAGTTTTAATGAAACATCAGGATTTTTAAAAATTTTGTTTGAGAATTAGAAAACTGTTATAACTTCTGAAATCTGCATACTGTATTAATCATATGTTGTATCTGTACTTGAAAATTTTGTATATAAATCCAATCCAATATTCTAAAGTTTAAAGAATTTGGAAGCTTGATAATTATTTAGTGGTTGTTCCCAGAAGGAGTGTGCTCAACTGTTATTGTTTAAAGTGCTATGACTTGTATGTACTCTGAAGCTTTATGGCTAATGTTTGACTCATGGTTACTCGTAAAGTTCATAGCAATTTGATGTAATATCCCTTCAGTAACCTTAGAAAGTTTTTTCACAGTGTTATAGTTGAGTAACTCCTCGCATAGTGATAAAACACTCGAGGCTACGTGCTGGTCTTAATCCAACAGTCTACATACACAAGTTACCGCTCTAGTGTGTTTTTCGTCTCTTGAGGATATAGAAAAATATGCGTGTGAACAGTTCAACATCCAGCTTCCCTTACAGACGGTCGCTCTGTGGGATTTACGTAATCTGAGCTTGAAGCTTCACTCGTTTGCCATGCACAAGGACGAAATCTTCCAGGTAAGTGAATCTTGCATGCCCCATGTGTGTGGTGAGCGCATGTGTCCTCAGTTATAATTTTCCACCCACCTTGCAGACAGTTGCCTTGTGGGACCTGCGCAATCTCAAGCTGAAACTCCACTCATTTGAGTCGCACAAAGATGAGGTTTTCCAGGTGAGCTTGACCGAGTTGGAGCAGCTGAGGGTAATTATTGTGTCAGGACTCAGGAGGAGTACAGCACAAGGCTGCACAGATGTATTTGGTGTTGGTTAGCTTTGTTGGAGTTTTGGATATGTTGGTGTGTGTGAGATGTTAGAGTAATGTATTTAATTTCATTTCTTTATGGTGGCACTTAATAGTCTTGTTTCTTATTATTCTTTCTTATAGAACAAGACAAAATACTTGCAAGTTTCTCCATATTCAGCTCTCTGTGTGTTGATTATTCACAAAATATTAATCAAGAATAAATTTATTCCAAGAATGATCTTTAATATCAAGATTATTTTTCTCTCCTTTTAAATATTTATACACATCAAGCCAATAGATTAATTTGCCAATTGTCAGACTCCAATTGATATATATTTGGCTACAAGTCTTTCGTGGGTTATAGATTACCCAGTGCCAGTTTGTCAAAGGGAAAGCTGGGTCTTCATGTCCAAGGATACAGTTACTTTTTCACTTGACAGTAATCACAAGTCTTAATTTTTTCTTTCTTTACTTAATTCAGATGTCATGGTTCATCACTTCAGGGTAAATATTTCATTTTTCAAAACAGTGTAGCAGTCTTAACAGCCTTTGTCCTCTTCTGGTGGTACAGGTTCAATGGTCACCTCATAATGAGACGATCTTGGCAAGTTCTGGCACTGACCGTCGGCTGCATGTATGGGACCTTAGCAAGATCGGTGAAGAACAGAGTGCTGAGGATGCAGAAGATGGGCCTCCTGAATTATTGGTATGCCTTTTTTTTTATGTAATTTTATTTGTCTATGCTTCCTAGTATTTTATAAACTCATGACTTTCAGTGAATTTATTGGCGAGGGAAAAGGTTTACTCTATTGTGTTGAAGTAACATCATGTGAGAGAGATTGTGCATTTATGTAAAGTTGTAGATTTTACTTAGAGACGGGTGGTAGATCACTCATATAATTTTTTCAGCAAAATTCATGCTTCCTTTCATATAATTCTTTTTCATCATAATGTGTCCTGTTTCAGTTCATTCATGGAGGTCATACTGCCAAGATTTCTGATTTTTCATGGAACCCCAATGAACCCTGGGTTATCTGTTCGGTCAGCGAAGACAACATCATGCAGGTATGTTGAATGATAAGTTGTAGATAATGCACCAGTTTATTCTCACATAGTGTATCTACAGATTAAAATACTTAATTCTGTTATAAAGCACCATGGTGTATATGCATGTGAAGATGGGTACTGTAGCACATATAGATGACTGATGTTTGCATTCAAATTTTGTTTGGGGAGGGCATAAAGGTTTTTTGTCAGTCTGATCTTAGTCTAAAGTTATTGATTATATTTTTGACAGTGGATGAAAAACATACGCCATGACTCAGATAGTGAACCACATTTGGAAGTCAACTTCCTGTCTTATGTGTGTGTGTGTGTGTTTGTGTGTTTTTTACTCCCTCACTATTCAGTGTTCTGTTATCTCCATACAAAACCCCAGTAGTCCATGTATACTGTGAAATCTTTATTTAATAGCCTACTGTATATGGGAGAAATTACTGTAATCTTTTAGGTGGATGTTTCATTGTGAGTGTTAAGGGAATGAATTGAGGCTCAGGTAGCCAGTTGTGTTCCCTTCTGTCTTTGCATGCAGCCAGTCAGCAATGGTTTGAGCTGTGTATGTTTTATGGAGTTTGCCTCTCCTTTGCACATTTATGAAAACATTTTGTGGGTACTGTTATGTAAATGCTCAAATGTTGATTGCTGAAAGGTGTACAGGTTTAGTGTTTTGTGTAGTTCTTCATAGATAGACCGGGAAGATGAATTGACATCAAGGATAATTTTTGGAGAAAGTTGGAAAATGCAGGTGTAGACAGCTGAAAGGGATTGACTATTAATTCTGAATGGGCGGATTTTTGATGGCATGGAGGATTGATTGACGAAGTTTTGAAACCAATGAGCAACTGCGAATGGAGTAAGAATACAAAAACTATCAGTGTCAAAGAGTACAGTACCTGTATATTGAGATTTCAACAAAATTATATTTTTGGCAAATTGGCGAGGGGTACTCCTTGTTTTGGTTTTTTTTAATTAACATGATTAATTGCTGTAGTACATTTCAAATAACAGAAAAACACCAAAAGCCAGTGTTGAAGAATTAACGTGTTTTTTTTTTTTTTCCCCTTGCCACTGTATCAAAACTTGTTCCATACTTTATAGTTTCAGTTACACGAAGTTTTGTAACCCGTGGAATATAGTACCTTTATTTCCCAATATACAGGCAATGGTCATATACTTCATCGAAAGTCCACAGTCCTTATCCTACACATCTGTCTATAATCACATTCTGATAATGACGACCCTTCAACTTCTCCATTGTCACACTTCTATTTTTACTAACACATTTTCTTCTTTTCAAACCTTGGCACACACATTTCCATTATCATTGCCATATCATTCTCTAAAGTTTTTCAATCTAAATACCATTTAGCTATTTCTTATAGACAAATATCCAAGTAGTATAATTTATTGATGAGAAACCTTGTAATTTTCTTGACAGGTGTGGCAGATGGCAGAAAATATTTACAATGATGAAGAACCAGAGACCCCAGCATCTGAACTTGAATCCGGTGCATCTTAAAAATCTGTAAGGCCTTCATTAATACTGTACCATCTGAAACTATTGACACTGCAGTCAGCTTTGTCCATACTCATAACTGGAGTGAGCATTATATGGTTTGCACTTGGATCTGTATACAAAGCACAGTATTTTACTGTGATTCAAAGAATATACTTATAATTTTTTCAGGTTGTGTCAGTTGATGTATGGAAAAGTTTTCATAAATTCATAGAATAAATGTTTATTTTATTAGGGTAATATATATCTACTACATCAAATCATCAGATCATTTTGTGGATATATTTGGCAATTGCTTTTACAGTACTGTGTAAAGTCATCAAACATTTGTCATTCCATATAATGCATAAACTTCTGTTAATTATGCTATTAATTGTTGCAAGGATTTCATTAGAATTACTATCATTTTCTTAATAAAATACATTTATGTTGAAATTCCTTTGTTTGTCTTGTCATTCAATAGTTTTTAAGCAATTGAACAGCGTGTTGAATAATGGCTATTGTTGGATTAAATCATCAGGGATATTTAGATAATTGAAATGAGAAAAGTAAGACTTATAGAGAATCCTACAGGGCTGTGCCATATTCACATCTGATTTTTTATTATTAGTTTTTTAATTATAGTATGTTACTGCTTCTCCAGAGACTTATCCATATCCTGATGTTTGCCAGATATAGATTTATATCAGTATAAGTTACACATTTTTATGCATAAATACAACTAATTAAGAGTAAATGCAGAGAAACACTTTATTTGCAGTCTTGTCCTCATGCTCCTACTGCATTAGATTATTTCATGGAAGTCCCCTTCTACAACCAGGCTCCAAATCTAGCTTCACACAACCATGCATCAGCCATCAACAACACATCTACTGTCTTTGTAAAAATTAGTAGATTTGACCATTTTCACTTATAGGTATTTTTGCTTCCTATAGATATCCATACCCATGTGCAGACCCTGATACTCTCTCTGCCCAACACTTGATCATCTCCTTAGTTTTTAATTATTTATTCTCTGCACCTTATTCACCCAACATTACTCACAAACAGGTAATTTCTGACAATTCTAATTTGCCCCTTCCTCTTGCATCCACAGTCTGTTTTATATAAAAAATTTAATGTTGGCTGGATGGCCGATTGATTCCTCAGTACATTTCATGTCTTATTTGACACAATTACATCATCTGAACCCATAAAACTTGTTTTTAGAATTACTGTAAAATTTAAATCTCGCTAATTCGATTTTTTTTTGATAATTCATTATAATTGGTTAGGATATTTAATAAGATTTTGTAACTGGAAAAAATTCAACTTTCGGCCAAAATTCTGCATTCAAAAGTGAAAAACAATGCTAATAAAAATGAATTACTGGTGCAGATAAATGAGATTAAGAAATGCAGTAAACTCACCCTAACTTGGACCCTTTAAGTACAGTATTTCGAAACCCTGTGATTCTCAGACGGAGTTGGCCTTGTACACCTTTCTTTCCATCTTGGACAATATCTGATATGGACAGACAACCACAGGTCTCCACTAAGGTTCTAGAAGCTTTCCAAGCCACACGCAAGAAGATTCGTGAAGGTTTCCGAGTCCCGGCGTATATACTGCATATGGCATGGCCACATGGGTGGCCTCCCAAGTTGTGCAGTGTGAGATGAAGTAATGTGTAGTTAAGGTGAAGTCGCATACATTGTGTACAGTCAGACGTGCGCAAAGACTTCCTTATCAAAGCTTCCCACGTGTCATGGAGGTCCCATCTCTGAGGCATTGTTTGTCAGTCACGTGTGTATTGTATTTATCATTAAAATGCCTTTCCTGTTTTGTGGTTAGATTGTATTTATGTTCTATATATTGAAATATCTTAAGGTATTTGACGTGGACATTCCTTTCCATCTCAGATTGATGTCCTTAGATTCTTGAACCCAGGTTGGCTACTCAGAAAGTTGGCCTTCTCTAATTTCCATTTCCCAAACTAGTCCAAGTTGGCGAGGGTTTACTGTAGTTGGATATACTGTACACAAGACATGGAACATATGTAACGTATGCCTCTGAAACCTGGCTTTGGTTTAAAAGTTTTCCAATATCTACATTATTATTATGAATATAATAATAATGATTTAATACAATAAAGAATTCGTAAAATAAACTGTACAGTACTGTAATGTCATTTATTGTGCACATGTTACATGAAGCATTCCATAAACCTGTATACACGTATTCATATTAATTTGAAAATGTTTTGTTTCGGTACAGTACATTATTCTTAAGACAGGTTTTTTCTCATGCTAGGATTCTGAGTATCAAACATCAAAACAGATGTCCTGTAAAAATAAAATTTTTGAATTGTGACGTAAGTTGTAAAAAAAAAAGCAGAAATATGTTGTAATTTCAGTGTTTGGATAATTTTATTATTCGAATGACATAGAACCCTGACAATATTTAGTTAGTTCAGCATATTGAAGTGCATTACTCTACAGCAGGCATGGGCAACGCGGCCCGGACCATGTGGAGTCATTGAGAAATTCTATTTAACGTGGCCTGCAGTTCAGGTAGATGCAACCAGTATATGGTGAGTAAAGCAATATTTATTTAAAGAATAATCTTCACACAATTTCTCACTGTTTCATGACCTAAGAGTAAGAAACTACAAAAATGTAACAGTGAAATAAGTACGTATATATAGTCAACAATATAAACATTTTAACTTGTGAGTTTACGGGCCAAGATCGGCGCGGTCTGTTTGATGGATTAGCTGCTATATGGCAGTGGGTCACTTGGGAATTAACAAAGGTTGGGTAAATCCAAGTGGGATCATGGGGTTTAATTGATTAACCCTTACGCCCCAGGTGACATTCCAGAGTGTGTGCCTTTTCCTGCCACTTTAAATGCCCAGCTCGGGTTATCAGTTTCCAGTGTGACTATTTGCCTGTCATGCAACACACTCGGCCACAGGGAAGCTTCCTGAACGTAATTACCTACTTTTGTTTGTTTCATTTTATCATGTATCAAAGTAATATTGCTAAAAGTAGTGTAGTTGTATTGTAGGGGGGTATTACTGGAAAATAATGTGTTGTCTAATGGTAAACCCTGCTGCCATATGGCATCACGAAAATTGTGACCAAGTCCCAGGTTACTGATCTGACTCATTTACACTCAATTGCAGGGTCTCGATTGTTTCTCGTAATATGACAACACAACATACATACAGTATATTGTTTCTCACTTTTGATCTGTTTTCATTTTTGTATTTATGGTTCTTTATTATTATTAGAGTTATTATTACTACAGAGTTATTATTATTATTTTTTATTATGAATTATTATTATTATTACATTTTCGCCTCCCAGGCCCCTATGTTATAGCATTCTCAATTTTATAAGTAAAACCGTTCGTTATAGGAATATTCGTAGTAGGATCCGTTCGTTATAGCATACCCCACTGTACTTGCTTTACCACACAAAGACAACCAGACAGCCTGGCGACCGACTGCGTGTGTGTTGCCGAGCAATAAAATATTCAAAATTAATTATAGGAAATAAGTACAGTATAATCCCCCATCCTGGGGTATCGGGAAATTTTTCGGAAAATGTGCCCTTTGGAAAATCTTCCCCTAAGTTGGAATTTTCCATAAAATTCTGGCTTTGGGATCGACTTTTCAAGAAAATTTATATTATGGCTATCGGAGAGTTCCGGGTTTGAGGGATTCCGGCTAACGGATATATTACTTGTGGTTGGAAACCCAAGAAGTGTGCCAGCCTAGAAAGTGCAGCAGAGATCAGGGGATAGTGGCCCAGTTGTTATTAGGTATGGTGAGGTTTTGAAGCCCTTCCTAATGCCAACCCATAGGGTGGCAACAGCAAGCAAGACAGGGTTGCAACTCCTGAGGTAATCAGACTAGCTGTCCACACAAAGTGAATACTGTACAGTACAGTATTTGCATTTTAAAGAATATTAATAAAAACAATGCAATACTGTATTATTTATTGTATTCATATACATTCAGTACATCATTTGTTACTTTACAGCAAACATCTATACAAAACATTATTTGAACACATGATCATATCCTGCTAGTACACTCGATACAAAAATTATCTGCAATTTTTTTTGGCTTGACTATATGACAACAGACGAAGGATTTTGACAACTCTGCCGAGATGACAGGAGTCGGTGTTCATTTTGACATCCATCAGACCCCACCTTGTATATACTTTCTGTAGCAAGTGTACCTTTAGTTTCAAATCCACCTTTCTCAAATGACCTGCTGTTTTCTTATTATCTTTATGTACAGAACTCTGAACACATCAAATATCACTATTTTATCCTGTTCATATATCTGGTAAAATACTGTATTTTTTTACTGTATGCAATTTATGAAATGCATTGTGAAATCCATTCTTACTGCTTATATTTTCTAAAACATTTAAATAAATTTTATCCCCATAGATCATACACATTTTGTAGTCTTATTTTGGCTATTTTCAAAAATCCCTGACCTTAAAGTTTGCATGAGTTGAAATTACATAAAAAGACCCCCCCCCAAAATTTCAATTAACAATTATCTGAAACCCTAGAGTTTGTTTTTAATATACACTTCCATACAACAAACTAATTGGGGAGGGGGAGGTCAGTCCGTTAAATCTGAAATAATAACGGACTCAGTCTGTTACATATCAACATAGTCCAAAGTGACACTCCATCACCTCTAACATTCTCCATCACCACTAATATTCACCAACACTCATCAACATCACTTACCACCACCAACTGGTGTTTACAGGATGAGAATGCATTCAAAGTGGGGCAACAGAGTGGCAGGCTAGCAGAAAAAAAAAGTCACTACGCTTTAGTAACACGTACGGTATTGGTTGGTTGTAAGTGGTTATAAATATTTGCTAAAATATGGGGAATCGTTCATATAAAGAACGAGTGTGTGAAGCGACTTGAATGCTACCAAGAAATTTTTTTACACAAGGAGAAGAGTGGCGATTGGCTGCGAGAATACAGGAGGGCCAAAAAGCTCTATAACAAACAAATGTTATATTGGGTGGTGCTAAATGGGCTAGTACTGTAATTAATTGATAATTTGGACACGAATGGACCTCATTCTGCAAGTTTTTTTTACCTTAATGGACCAGTAAAAATTTTTTTTTTACTATAATGGATCCCACTCTGTAATATATGAACCTAATTCAAACGGATCACGAGTGTCCGTTAAAGCTGAGGTCCATTATTGACAGTGTCCATTATATCGGGTTTACTGTATACCAAATGTTCACAGAAATGTGGGTAACAATTAGACTTCACAATAGAGTATCTAGAAGTATTGCTACTTCATCATGTTCCATATGGTGGTGGCGGTTGATGGACATAAATTAACTATAAAAATATATCCCCCCAGATCTTTATAGAAAAAAATCTTATGAAAGGCTTCAGTTCATCTGCAGCCTCACTATCTGAAGGTTAAAAGGTTTTTCTACTTTCCATCACACTGTGATTATGTTTTGATCAATGTCTTTAGCAGTTCACACATCTTTTCAAAATTTCAAGTCTTAAATTAAAATGCTCAAAATTAGCAAGAAAAATTTTTCTGTAAATGTATTTACACCACTTTTCAACACAATTTCAGAAAATGCATGGAGACATTATTGCATAACCCTAACATTAGAGTTGTCCATTGGGGTCAACAAAGTTAAGTTTTAATGCATCAGCAGTCAAGTTTTATTTGTCTTTGACAACACTGACTTTATGGAGTAGTACTGAATTTTCCATCACTATAACCAGTAAATGTGGATCTGATTCAAGTGTTTACTTTTAAATTTGATTTAACAAGTTCTAGTTTATCAGTGTGTTTACCTTGCTTTAGTTTTTTAAGAACGAATTCCTGTGGATGTGGCATTACATAACGTAACTTCTCCCAGAACTTGGGGTCACCCCACTGGAGATATGTCCGTGTGGAAAGGTACAGCTTGAGTTCTTCATCAAGTTCTGATTCTGGTGGCAACTTGGGGAGAAGAAAAACATATTACTTATGAGGAAACACATCTATCACTAGTAAACTCATGCTAGAAATGCAAGATACAAGTTCTCCTTAAATAGTCACTGTACTGTCAAAGGCTTGGACTGTATAAGTTTAAGGGACAGCAACTTAATCCAGAAAAAATAAAATAAGCATTAAAATCTACCTATCTTAACAAGAGGTTTGGAAATTATTATTATTATTTTTTTTTACTTCTCAAGATACTATAATGATTTCATTAGTCTTAAGTATTATCTAAAGAAATTCTACTTACCTCTCCATAAACAATAACAATAATCCTATTGGTTTTATCTTTAAGTGCTTTGGAATGGGCAGTTTTAAACTCCAGGTGTCCCCAAACATTTTCTATAAAGTTAGAGGACAGAATCACAATTGTGCGGCGACTTGCTTCAATGCTCTGGTCAATCTGGTTTTGGATAAACTCCCCAGGGACCCAGTCACGGTAGTGGAGACATATTCGATATTTAGGATCGCCAGATTCTAGGCCAGGCACCAATTTTGTATTCACAAAATCTTCATCCTGTAAATAATTTACATGTCAAAATTTATTTGTGAAGACTTTACACAGTACTGTATTCAGTCCACTGTTGAAGACCATAAAGATGAGATTTATTTTTTCTTCTATTGAGGGTCACTAGACTATGGACAATAAAAGTGATTTTGATAGTATAAAAACTGGAAACAAATTAAAATTCTGAGAAAACCAAGGAAGACTTAGAATTCAGATGTGTATGAAGTGCCTTTGAAAATTCCACAACCTTTGTCCCATGAAACTTGAAAATCACTTATCAAACAAAGAAGGAACAAGATTTTTAGCTAATATTCAGGGAAGCCCTTGAATTATTAATATAAAAATATTTGCACACATCACAAATCAGCTGACTAGGGAGGAGGAAAGGCCACCATTTATTTTAACTTCTTTAAAAATTTTATTTCCAAGCAAATGAATCCTAGGTGTCAATTTACAGATTGCCATCAAGAACAGTGATTGAGGTATTGACCAGGAACAGTAGTGTTGTTGGTACCGCTACAGACTTACCTTATTAGAATAGCTGATAAAAGCATCATACTTTTTATTTGCATCTTCTTCCTCTTTTGCAATAGCCCATAGACATAAGCGATGTGTGAATAACCAGACCTTGATATCCCGCTTGTACTTGTACACACTTACAGTTCCTAAAATATAATTTTTCATGTGAATTTGGTTTCTTCATAATGAAAAAAAATACTTGTACTGTACTGTATTACATTACTGGGCAAGCTTAAAGAAAAGACAAGACCAAAGATAAATGAAAATTCTGTGATCTGCCTTAGATTACATTACCCCAAAACCCCACAACCTCTCTTCACCACTCCCAACACCCCACAACCTCTCCAAACACTGTTAAAAGAGGTTGTGGGGTATACAAAAATAATTCAGTACAGTTCAGTAATTCTAAACAAATAAGCTATTACAATTATCCTAAATCTACATACCCTGTACTGGTATTATTTATTGGGGGTGTTGTAAGTCATTAAAATATCACAGGCAAGATGACACATTCTGTATATATACCGGGGTATTACCCCTCTTAATAACCAAGTTTAGGAACAAATCATTTCTTTTTGTATTTTCTTCTATCTTACCTTCCCAATTTTCCATCTTTTAACACAAGCATATTTATCTTAACAGGGAACACTGAGCCTTAATTTAGAAGATAAGGATCCAAGTTCTTTTCAGCTGTCTTTAACACAAACGTAAAGATCTACACTACAAATCTTATTTTACCATCCTTTGTGTTTATTATTTACTAACCTCCCTCTTCACATATTACAGGTGCAACAATTCATTTTAAACAGAAGGGCTTTTAATACAGTATCTGGCTGCTCTTCATCTCTCACAGGCCATCCATACATTTCCACATTGGTAACAGTAAGACAAGTCATTCGCTACCTGTCACCCTTCTTTGAGATGTTCTACAAGGAGCTTTTAAAATGGAGGTTTTGGTTCAAGATGAGAACACTTCCACCAGAGGAATATAAATACAGTACAGTACGTATACTAAATAAAGAATGTTATGACGGTAATTCTCAAAACTTTACTCCCTGTTCAGTACCTGCAAACCAGGAGTGATGTAAAGTAATAAAAATTGTGTACTGTACTGTATTCCATTTCAGCAGCCTTTTTCTCAAACTAAAATTAATTCCCCTTTTCAACATATCTCAAGTATGATTTAATGTTCATCTTGCTTCATCTATTCTAGTGTTAATTTCCCTTTCACATATGCGATCACAATTTACCTTATCTCTTAACTACTGTACACCAAATTTTCCCCCTGTTTAAGCCTGTCTTGCTTACTACATTTGTTATTCAGTTATATACTTAAAATTTGTATACAGTACTACCATTACATGTATTTAATTGTTTTAGTCTTTACTCCTAGTTTTCACTTTTTTCCACTATCTGTTAACCCTTTAATTAATCCAGTACTTCTTCACTTCTGCAATGAGAACAGTGCAGTATTTATTTCCATTCCTGCCCATTTGTTTTATAAATTCTGCTGACAGTTGATCAACCCCAATAGCCCTGTAATTTTTCATTTTATGTACTGCTACCTCAACTTTTGCTTATTATCTTTAGTTTTTATTGTCCCATCCCGCTAAAATCCTATTTTCTAGTTCATTTGCAGAATTAACTTTTCTATACATTTCTCTGGAAGTTTACCTCATACCATTACTACACTGCACTTTTTATAGTATTTAAAAAAAATTTTAAAGCCTTACTAATTTCAGCTAATTATTATTATTTTTTCAAGATTCAATTCTGATTCAGTCAGTTTTAGCTTGATTATTCTTCATCCATTAAGTTACCCCCCCCCTCTCTCTCTCTCTCTCTCCTGCCATTGTATTCAAATTACCCATTATGATTAAATACCAGTAGTCCTAGATCTTCAGAAGCTTTTCATCTTCATAAAACTTTTCTGTGTCCTTATCATGAGTATCATCTGCTGTTAATAAACCTAAATTATTGCTAATTCCATGGGTTATAGCATTAACCTTAGCTAACAGAAATTCTTATGACGATAATACTACTTACAACACTACTCAAATTCAGCTTTATGAGGATACCTACACTGCATTTTATGATCAGAACATGTAAAATACAGTAACATTCTTCTACAAAAACATTATTTAAGCCTGTCATCTTACTTCATTTTAACCTAGAACCAAGATGCCATTGTAAAATTTTTGATGTTTGTAAGGAAATCATTATGCAAACATTACAAATCTACATGATAGAAGTTTAAAGTTTTTAAAATACTTTGTAAACCTTTAACTGTTTCTGCTTTTGTGAAGATGGACTTTGTTTTTGTCATCCTTATAGCTTAAGAGGCTTGATGCTCTTACCAAGTTATAAAGAGAATTACTGTGTTATATCTTATTCATCTTTGTGTTTATTATAACATTAGGTGTATTTATCAAATACAAAGATAAATACCCGGTAACAATTCCAGCCGTACACTCACCAAGCACAAAGAAGAGGAACAGGACAACAATGATGGATGAAACAGTTGCTATGACCAAAGGCTGCTGAAAAATGGGGCATAGCTCTTCTTCTGAGATTTCAATCAGAAGTTCCTCTTTAGTGTTGCAGAAAATGTTATGGGAGTCAATTACCTGTTCAAAGAAAGCACACACCAATATTACCCTCCCACTTAAATTATACAACTTGTACAGTATATCAATTTATATCGTTTTTTTTGTATAAAATGTTCATATCCACATTTTAAAAAGGCATATAAATTTTCCCACATTTTCAGTAATACAAGCAAAATAAAATAGCAATTAAATCTTACCTCTCTTGTGGGATCCCGGAGAAAGTTATGCAGGTCAACAAGATCACAGTTACAAAGCCAGGGATTGTTCCCTAGGCTAAGAACAATGGCTGTAGTGTTCAAATATACCAAAAATGATTTTGGAAGAGTTGTCAAGTTATTACCACGAATATCTAGAACCTGTAAATTTTCAGGAAAGATGGTGTCATTGTCGAACACAAGTTTATTATATGGCATCGACAAATTCACAAGAGCAGAATACTCTGGGTCTTGTATGCCTTTCAAACTTCTGATGGTGTTATTTCTTAAATCTAAAGTTATAGAATAATTTTCCTTGGGTAAAAAGTCACTTTTCAGCTTTGGTATGGCTTGTAGTCCTTGATAGGCACAGTTGATGATGACCATCTTATCGTGAGATCGTACAAAACAGGTGCAACTGGCTGGGCATTCCTGAAGCTTGCATTTTAGAGTTTCCGTGTTCACATTTGCAACATTAACTTGTCTGTTCTGTTCTGGATATGAGCATTTTATTTTCCCACTATCTAAAACATTGAGCTGGAATATATCTTGCATCTCTTCAAAAGATCTTCTTTGTAACAATCTTGCAAACTGGTAAATGTCACAATTACAGACTAGTGGATTACCTTCTAGATATACAGACACAACTTTCTCAGAAGAAATATAATCCACATCTTGGAGAGAAACACTTTTGATCTTATTTTTTCCCAAATTAACTTCTAAATTATCTGATTTGAATGACAGATCCCTGTAGTCCAAATATTCAATGATATTTCCATTCAAATTTAGTTTTGTCACATTTGGAAAATTGGTGCCAAATGCTTGTGGTACAGCAGAGATTTTGTTATCATTTAGAAACAATTCAGTCAGACTTTTTTGCCCAGAAAGAGGAAAATGTTCTTCGACTGTGATTTGTTGAGAGGCCTGTGGCAAGTCACTTCTGGGTGAAGAAAAAGATATATTGTTTCTTTGCAAATCTAAAATCTGAAGGGCAGATTTTGGATGTGGAAAGGCAGAGCTATGGAGGACACTGATGTTGTTGAAGCCCAGATAAAGTTTCTCTAGATCTTGACAGTTTTTAAAAATCTCTTCTGGTAACTCACTCAGGCTATTATTATGTAGGATTAATGTTTTCATATTTCGTTGATTATCAAAACAGCCGGGTGGGAGATCTGACAACAGGTTTGACTGAAGATCTAGCAACTTAAGATTTACCAAATCAGAGAACACACCCGATGGCAAACTCTCCAGAGCATTTTTATTAAATCTAATATTTATTAAATCTTTTAGGCCTTGAAATATGCCCCCTGGGATGTTGGTAATCCAATTATTATTTAAATTCAAGTATTGTAGTTTCTTGGATGCCTTGAAAAGCTCAGAGGGAAGAGACTTAAGCCTGTTGAACTCAATTCTAACATGTATCAACTCTGGACAATCATGAAAAACATCCTTAGGGAGATTTTCAAGTGAATTTGAATTGAGTAAAATCTGTCTCAGGTTTGGAAGACTGGAAAACACACTTGAATCGAAATGTGATATTTTGTTATGTGACAGTTCAAGAGACAACAGTTGAGAAAAATTTGATAATAACTCTGGGTGAATTTCAACTAGTTTATTATCCCATAGGCTTAGGTTTGTTAATTTAGAGAGATCTGAAAATATACCATTAGGCAATCTAGTTAATCCATTCTCAGTAAGACGAAGTACTGTAAGGTTTGGTGTACTTTTAAATAAAGATTCTGGGATCATTTCCACATTATTACCGGTAAAACTAAAATATTGCAATTTAGGAGTTGCTTCAAATAAGTTTGGTGGTATACTGGTGAATTTATTGCCTGTAAAATCTAAATTCTTAAGGTTGGGCAGGCCTTGAAGGTGCCACTCTTGTAATTCATCTTGCCGAAGACCAACGTTATAGAATATCAGTGTAGTAACATTTTCAGGATTTATGCCAATTTGAAGAAAAACTTCACTGAAAGACCTATTGAATAATGGGCATATTTTAAATTCAATATATCTGATAGCTGAAAAATCACATTCCTCAATGAGTGAAAAGTTGATATGTTTTGCTTCAGAACGGCAAAGGAGGTGAAGCACACTTTGTGGATAGTCCTTATGATCACTTATACTGACGATGATTCTCTCTGGGTTACGCATATCTGGACAGTTCATTTTATTATTGCCAATCCCCATGCACTGACCACATGGTATCACATTGGCATAACCCCCAGATATCCAAGAGCACAAGATGAAAGCCAGTACAGGAAACACCCATGAGGCCATGATGCTGGAGTAGTTAATCAGTCTAGGCTGGGCTGATGTTGCATTTTATCTTGTCAACTGCAAAAGAAAATATACTTTACTCCACGTGAACACATTATCATATACAGTACAGGCAGTCAACAAGTTTCAAACGCCGACTTACAGACACCTCACTTACAAACGGGTTCCCAATACATACTGTACATTCGTCACTAAAATTGTATTTTTTTTACATTGCAGTACTTTATATTGTTTAACAACTTTATTTACAGTCTTTACATTATTTGTTATGTATTATACAGTATTATTGTTGGTTTTTATGGGCAAAGTTGTGCTTTACCCTAACCTTAACTATGGAATTAACACTGTTATGATTTACAAACAGAACGTCTTACGAACAGGGTCCAGGAACATAACCCGTTCATAATGCAGGGACTGCCTTTATTTCTTTTAACATTGCTGTACAATACAGTACATTGTAATTAAGTTTCTAAGGCTCAGACAAACAGAAATTTATCAAGAAAAATTGTATGTTTGGGATCACCACAAGATTTGGTCCTCCTGATACTTTCACCAGGGGAAGGTGTGAAGTTAGGTTATGTTAGGGTAGGATAAGTTAGGGTAAGTTGTTAGATTAGTATCAGGATGACTAATCTTCAGGTGAATTAAGGAAGGCGAATCTTCCAGTGATACAAAAATATACAAAGTGGAATATCTTGTAATGAAGTTACCATTTTGTGAGCTACTGTTTCAGGCAATCATAAACCCTAATAAAAACTTGGATATACTTGTTAAATCAAAAGTATATCCAGAAAATTATAAGATTACGGGAGGAGTCGAAGACTGACCAAGGGTGAGTGAGAGGGAGGATGCGGAGAATACTTTTTTTTAATACCAGTAATCTTAAATGGTTAATTTTCAAACATCCCCACTTGCTCAATACAGTGCTTGCTGACAATGTAACAGAACAGACTCACTGCCCAATCGCCTAATACACTGACATGTGAATAAGAGGATAAAAAAGGAAAAATATCCTAATATTAAGTGTTGTATTCCAGTGTCAATCACAATATTTATGGATTAAATATACTGTACCCTAGACAAAGATGCTAGATAATGTAATATGAGGTAGGTGGGTAGTGATAGTGGGTTGGGCAGGATAGTAATGGGTGGTGGGTAGGGCAGTGAGTGGGGTGGTGGTAATAGCAAGAGGTGGGCAGGGCAGTTAGGTCAAGAGCATGAAGCAGGAAGGAAGGCAAGGCAGACCCGGTAGAGACAATGTCGATAGCAGCAAGATGTAAACGAGGAATGTGTTGTGAGGTATCCGAGGAGGAGTGCAATCGTATTATTTTTTTATCAATAAAAAGAGTGAATGATGAGGAACACCAGAGAAAAGGAAACTGAATTACACACCACAAAAAACTATCATACAGCTCACTCTACACACACTGACTGGCTCACTGTTCTGAAGTGGTCGCATCCTCACAGATTCATTAATGAAATACTTCTTTTAACCTGGAGTTGTAGGAGCAAACTGTATATTAATGTTGAACTAACGTTACTTGATGACGAAGATATTTGTACTGTATCACAAAGACTAACTACTGTACCATGCCCAGCCCTCAGTATAATACAGGTACTCTTCATAATGCAACAGATGTGGCACCAGACTAAATACAGGGGGTATACAATTTTCAGTAATCAACAAAATTGAACTTTTTTCAGTCTTATCAGTAAGTTTATGTATTTCTATAAACAACTCTGGTTTGTCACAGGTACTGAAGACCAGAGATGGGGGTCCAAGAAGTTGTGGGTTGGGGGCAACAAGGGAACCCACCCAGCTGGGGGGGGGGAGGGGGCTATAAGCCCCCCTTTGGAATTTTTTTGAAATCTGACCAATATCATGGGCATTTTGAGGCCATGTGCACTAGATATTAGGAGATATTCTGCGGTCAATAGTACAATTACTTTTTACTAAACGAAACCGCCTGAGTACAATACTGCATTAAAGAAAAAGTGTTGGATTTTCTGATAAAAAAGGACCCTCAATTCTCCTGTCAGAATAAAATAAATAAACGCTTATTTTCACTACTAGGAAACATGAATATTAATAGTGAGAAAAAAATGAGTGGCGTCGACCTTCAACATAGTGGGGAAGTACTGTGAGTAGGGGTCGAGGTGTTGGGGTTTTCCCATTAAGGCGAGATAATCCCATTTGACCGAGTGACCATTTACGGTAAGAAATTTCCTACAGTAATTAAAATATTCATTTCAATTACGGTAATCACAATTTTGGGATATCTATATACTGTACTTGGTGCACGTACGTACATAAGTGTACGTGTATTACTGTAGGTGCTTATATTCATATGTAATCGCAATTCAATAATAATACGTACAAGAGAACACTAGTTTGTCAACAAGCGTGGGTCCGGGCCTACAACTGGTACCCTGATGTCATGTAGACAACAGGTATGTACTGTAGATACATCACCATAACTATAGCATCAGATAGATTGATTCGTTAACTTCGGAGAAATACGATAGCAACAGACACAAGGAGGTTTATTTTATTCAACTATTACGTTCTCACTGCTTATGACTAACTTAGCCGATCTAAAGATGCCGAGGTTCGCCTCTTGAAGATCTGCAACCCTCCTGCCCATGCACCTGCCAACTTTCATTATTCTATTCACACAACACACACAGACATCTATTAAACACAAAACATACAATTTCATCTCAGTGAAGTACAGTATATCAATCTTCTGGGTAATATCAACTTGTCATAAAATCGACAAGTCAGTACTGCACATTGATCCACACAAATGAGGAATCACCTTATTTCACCTGATAGTTAATCGCCTGAACCTACCTGGAGAGGTGGAGTTGGATTAGGTTTGGTTAAGTTGAATTAAGTCAGCGTTAGGGTGGTTGGTTAATTTTCAAGCGAAATTAGCTGGGGAAGGGCTAATATTCAAGAAACCCCAACTTACTTTCACAATTCTAAAATTTATATTCCTGTACTTGTTAGATTAGCTGTATCTGTACCCTTGTTTCTTGACGTACTAAACAAATTCATAAAATCCAATAGTTGACTACGAGACTAAACAGTGCCGGCAGAAACAAGTAACCTTAATGTGTGCGAGAAATTTTAAGAGAGAACACAACGTCACAAAACACCTAAGGTATAAATAGCAAGAAAAGCGATATCATCCTCCATGTTCCATCTTAAGTTTAGAATCATAACATCAGATTATATACTTAATGAACACTAATAACCTTAGTATTGAACTGAAGTACATCGTGTCTATGCGTTTATTAATACTAATGACTCCAGCATACTTTCTGCAGGAGTGGGGATGACACCTAATAGTTTGGGTTAGGTTAGACTTGGTTAATTTGGCCAAAGTGTTTACTTCTCAAACCTGCCCAACCATCATCTGTGCTAGCGTCTCCCTTCATATCAACCGACATGGCTAATGGTGGTGCTACAGAATGGCGTTTCATCATTATACTATAATAAATACAACTATCGTATTCAGTGAAGCATGCTGTGAGAATACAGCCTCTGCCAACTGCCAATTTAGGGGTTCACGTCTTGCTCATTCACTTTCGGGATGCGCTTCAGCTTACTGGTACTGTTTAGCCACTGCGCACTCATGGTGAAATCTAAGACGGTATTCAAGGTCTGACACTTAATCCGCAACATGCTTTTTACTGTTTTTAGCGAAGATAAGGGCGGTTTTTAGTGTGTGTATGTTGGATGCACTACATTCCAAATACTGCTATACTATAAGAATTCCTCACCAGCAAGGAATCGAACCCTCGACCTACTGGGTGGGACTAGGGAACGCTTACCGGCAACCCACAAGGACACTAAAAGCATTCCCTAGTCCCACCCATAGCTGAACCTTTGGTGAGGTCGATGATTATATGTTCAAAGTCCGCGTGTTATATGGACTAAAAATGAAGTATATATATATATATATATATATATATATATATATATATATATATATATATATATATATATATATATATATATATATATATATATATATATATACACACAAGAATTTTCATGAAAAACTAACCACTCACACGAGAGGTTAACAACCTTGAAAAAAAATTGGCAACAGCTATGACAAGGTAAAATTCACAGCGTACGAGTGAGGTTAACGCAGCGGGGATTCTTCAGTTAACATAGACCATTTCTTATTTTTCTCATCACTGTAGTAAATTTTTTTTTAATTATAACAAAGGGCATTTGTTATATTTATTTACAGTACACAAAAGTTACGAAAACCTTAACGTACAACTGTTATATAAATTATTTTCAACACGACAGTAAACAAAGGCTACAAAATAACGAAACTAAAGTTATAAAAAACTGTCAGTAGGCCACGGATAATCCCCAGCTCAGCACAATTACAGCGAAGGTTAACAAGCCAAAGAAAATACAAAGGTCAGCTAAAGTCATTGAATAAAAAATAGTGTCGCACTGATTTACAAGACTTTGGTTGTTCGTGTTACTCAAGCTGTTAGGACATCAAGATTCAAGTGTTTATGAAGTCAGGCAGACAAGCGCACCACACAAGCGAGGCATTACAATATTGTCCGAAACTAGGAAAGTCACCTAACCTATCCCAAACTAACCTAGCCAAAATTGTGACATTTTCCCGGTCACATTGTCCAACGCATCATACATTGTTCGACTACAAGCTGCCTGGGGGCTCTCTCTCCTCGTATCACTCAAAAGTAATTTAAGTTGTATACTGCACACACCACCATGAGGGTTACACCTACTGTACTTACTCACCCCGCTGCAGGTCTGTCTTCCCCGTACCCACCACACCGCACTCATCATACCAAGGTAATCAAGACGAAACAAGAATTGTCTAGGTGGTGTCTAAGGTCCCCAGCATAGCACCTTACACACGAAGTTACAATAAATCAACCATGAAAAGTCCACTCTACGGATCTTTAATTCTTGCTTGTCATCCTGACGAGGCTGTGGCCATCACAGCTGGGATTACCATCTTCAGTGTTTAATTTTTATTATTTCTTTTTCCCCA